ATATCAAGCAGTCAAACTGGAAGAGCCCTGCCCTGCACCACTTAATCCTCTTTTCTTTTCAGCTTTGTTAATTAATTACTGTAATTAATTTAATTTGATAGGTCAATTGAATAAAAAGAATCAAATAAAAAATTAAAAATATAATACAAAGAGTACTTTCAAAGTTTTCAATTTCAGATAGATTAATAAAATAGATGGATAAAATTGAGACAAAATTGCTTTCTTCTAAAACTACTAGTAATGTGATACAAAGACCGAGAAAGACCAGTGTGAGAGGGAATGTGATGGGTGTACTAATTTGTGTTGAAGTACTTCAGCATGGTGATAACAACAAATCGAAGTCTAGCACTGGGAGGTGGGACGACCACTAGATTCAGGGGGAGGGGGGTTTAGATTTTTTCGAGTCATTTATATATATATATATATATATTTACATTTCCAATGTCTTTGTCCGAGATAAAATTACAAATTGTAAAAATACTTTATTTCTACATAAATCAACTGGTTCATCGATAGGCGCGGTTAAAAAAAAATCACGTGCGGGGCGGGACAAATAGAGACAGAAGCGGGGCTATTAGCACGGGAATTTGCAGAATCAGGAGCATGTAAATATAAGGAATAACTGTCAGATTTTTTGGATTCATGACGATGATCAATCGATTGGCTTGCGTGATAATTTTATGCATAAACGCCTTCGGCGTTTATGCAAGTTATCACGCAAGCCACTCGATTGATCACATCATGAATCCAAAAAATAAGACAGTTATTCCTTAAATATATATATATATATATATATATATATATATATATATATATATATATATATATATATATATATATATATATATATATATATATATATATATATATATATATATGAACTGTAAGAATTCTACACGAATCCACACAGCATGGGGATGCTTCAAGAACATGGCGTTGCAGTTATAGAGAAGAAATTTTTTTCCCGTTATATATGAAAAATCCAATCCTGATTTTAGCCATCTCTAACCTCGTTGAAATTAAATTAATTTTCATGTCATTTTTCCTATTTGTTTTTAACAGACTGCTAGTCTGTACAATATTTAATCTACGCTATCACCATTATGCAACCAATTATTGAATCGTTAACATACACGTAGTAATAAATATATGTATCCAATGTATTTGATTTCAAATATAACATTTACTGCACATTTGATCTAAATAGAAAATATCAAACGCTCGCATTTATCCTTTCTTTCTTTTCATGCTGCTACAGTACATGTACCCGTTATTGATTTCTTATAAAAAACAAATAGAATTTGCGATAAATTTTAATTATGAGATTTTTTTGCATACAATCAATACAATTTCAAAATGATTGATATTAATATCAGAGAGAAACACCTTTCAATCACGCTCATAACTGTCCCCCAATTTACATGTATTTACAAATTTGTAACAGCTGTTAAATTATTCTTCATGAATTCATAGTTGCATTATATGAGATCTTACGGAATTGCAAGTTCAAACTTTACAATTTGGATCTGACATCTTTTAAAGTATTCCAATGAATCTGACATCTTTTAAAATATGCCAATGATGTTTGCCGAACAAACAAAAAAAATACTTTGAACAATTAACGAGGACCGGTTAATCCTAATATATATATAAGCTGTAAATTATTTTCTCTGAATTTCTTGGGTTTTTTTTTCCCTAGAGAAAATAGAAAAATTATTTTTGTTCCAGATAAGACAAGTTAGATAAGTTTGGGGCTTAAAACCTGTTGTTTAATAATATATAATATAAAATATCTAATAAATCAAGTCAAGAAGAGTCAGATAGAAATTTTCATAAATATGTGGGGGAAAATTAATATCTTCCTGACTTTCCAGATATCAGATATTATCAGATATTAATAGTATGCAGTAATTTACAACAAATCTTAAATTCCAATGATCTATTATTTGCAATTAAAACAGTTTTTTCTGAAAAATACCGCCCCACCCCCCAAAAAAAAAACCAACCAAACAAACAAATAAAAACAAAAAGCAAAAAAAAAAATTAATAAATAAAATAAAAAGTTTAAGAGCTTATATTGGTCTTTTCATGCAGAAAACATGTGTCATGAGATCTTTTCGTGCAACAAGTTTCATTTTATGCATCTAAATATGATTCAAGGTTCTAGGCAGTCTCAGAAACGGTCTTGTAAAAAGATGAGATTTCTACTCCATAAAAGAATAAAATAAATTCAATTTTAGAGAAAATCGAATTTCCTTTGATCTAGCATTAGATACCAATGCATATTAGCATGATATGAAACTAGACGTGATATGTGATGTCACGAGCTTTTTACACTATGTATTACATAACAATTGGAGTAAATAGAACTAAAATACTGTATAAGCCTAAAAAAGATGCAATTTTCTCCAAATGCATGGATACCTGTATTTTTAATCTTAAAATATATTGGTTGATCAATTTTTAATTAGAAATGCATAGCTGGTGTTTTTATTCGCATTTCCTGAAAATATATTTGAGATATGATAATTTAAACTACATGTATATACTATGATTAACTATAGTGATGAAATTTGAAGAAATACCATGGGTAAATTCACATTAGTCTGTGGAATCGGAGACATTTTTGTGAGCATTTTCAAAACCTGAGGATCGGACTACCTTAAACTCAGCGTTAGGTTATGTACAGTGTACTGAAGAGCACATACAAAATATACTCCTGAATATACTGAGTAAACTATTGAATTTGTTTCACAAGTTTATCACTGTTTTCCTGGTGAATAAAATGTAATACAAAACTTTCATACGTTCTTTCTGCTTTACCCACCAAACATTTGTAACAATTGCGTTAACTGCAAATAAAATCTGTTAAAAGATAATTCTGTGGCCCCAGAAATGTTGCAAAATAATGTTCTTTTTGCATTTTTACAAACATCGGATGGAAAACTATTTATCAAGAAATTAAGCATTTGGATATCGTCGGCATAGGCGCTTGGTTTCACGAGGGTGTATTTTGTGTATTATGTGTTTTCTTCCCGGGGTGTGTCTGAGTACACTCATTAAAATAAAATTAAAAAATAGCTGAAATAAGCGATCATATTACTGTACTACATAAACAGAATTACATACAGTTATATGATATTTTTAAACGTGCTAATTTCAGCTATTTTTTTTTTATTTTAATGAGTGTATTCAGACACACCCAGAAAAACACATAATACACAAAATACACCCTCCTGAAACCAAGCGCCTATGGCCTTGCCGACAAATTGAATACCGCGCATTAGATATGTATATGTATTCTACCGCGCAGTGATGGGTTATAGGGTAATGAATGTTGTATATTTCCATTAATTGTATTTCATAAAGAAAATTACACTGAATGTAAATAATATGCGTTAATGTATCTGCGTAATGTGCTTTATTTACCATGACAACACATTTAATAAGGCTTTCAAAAATTGCGTCAGCTGTTTCAGTTTTCCTCATACATTTTACTTAGAACAATGCCAAATGATGTCAAATTTTGAATTCTCGTATATATTCATTTTGTATTATTTTGCAATATACTGTATTAATTCATTTAAATGAATAACACACATTAAAAAAAATACCTTGGAACGTAACTTACTGCATTCCAAAGGATGACTGCACTTAAGGACATGCGAAAATTGCGACAAAATAAACTTTCAAAACAAGCATTTTTCTTTTAATTGCACAAATGGTCAACATCTAATCTACAACTCTATGTAATTAAATTAAATAAAAGTACGTATTTACGAAGTACGAAGCTGTTTTCTAAATTGTACCATCTAGCGTTAACCGTTTTCTAAGGCGGGGGTCATCACAATTCCTTGAATCTCCGTACGATAATGAGGACGCCCACCTTTTCACTGACTTTATACATAGTCAGCGCATGTTTGTCTATTGTTCTCCGTTTAACAGTAGTTGTATATTTGCATTAACAATGTTGTGTCAAAAGGAGATTAATATACAAACATGCGCTCATGGTTTAAACGAAAAAAAAAACTGCTTCTTCTTACATCGCTCTCTCTATTGTAATCAAGGGCTGTGACATGTTGAATATTATAATTCACCACGTGATTTCTTACCTCAGGTAACTCTGTGAATATTAAATTCCGTCACGTGACTTGTAAAGTAGCATGTTTTGTGCTAACTAGGACAAAGTGCTCGAACACGTTAAATTGTTAGGCATTGATTTAAAAGATACTTTACTTACATGGACGTCGCTCATATTGTTAATTTCGTTTTTGAAACCTCTGAAAATAGTGTACTTGTGCCATACAGAATAAAGAGAGAATGAGAAGGAATGGGAAAGAGTGATCTCGTATTTTTTTAATACATGTCATTGTTATTTATCTAGTCTAATTTTAGAGCCATTCTTACAATGTTAGCTCCACCTCTCATGCATACCTAATGTTTAATCAAGGGCAGGTAAGTGTAAATTCTCTACACTTGGAAAGAGTAAGGACAGAAAACATAGAATCATTTTATTGTATAACAGTCTAAGATCATTGTAATATTTAAATTCGGCTCGAAATTGACAGGATTTTTTCATAAATATATAAAAATGAAATAAGAGTTTGATATAAAAGCAACAGAAGCGACCGAAAAAGACCCAAAAACCGGCGTTAAGTGCAGTCATCCTTTAGAGTTATTCTTCTTTAAATAGCAAAAGAAAAAAAAGATAAATCCGTAGATCTAAAAATAATAATAAAAAAAAAATTGCAGGCAGTGCAACCAATGTTTTTTTTTTTTTTTTTTTTTTTTTTTGAGCGTTGTAGCAGTGTTTTCCATTTCCTGTATACGTATATTGATATTAAAATGGTATTTTCTAGGAAAAAAATAACTATAACAACGAATGTAACAACGAATGTAACAACGAATAACAACGAACTAACAAAAAGACTTTTTTTTTACGTAGAAACAAAATCGCAATACTTCCTGCTTCCTTCTAAGTATGAGACATTTACTGGTAGGAGGTCGTCCCGATGCTGTTTCTTCTGATTTTCTCCTCGGTGTTGTGTTGCTCTGGATATCGCTTCCAACTCGAGGAGGGCGAAACTGGACGGTTGTAAGTAAACACTATTTTAACTTTATCTTCGGGATAAATGATATTCCTTTCTTTCGTCACATTGAATTGAATAGGTCAGTTCAATGTTCCCTGTTTCTGTTCAAGATAGCTTACACAAACAACGAATTTAAAGAGAGAGAGAGAGAGAGAGATTAAAAAAAATCAAATAATGCGTACTTCTGCCTTTCACCGTAACAACACTCTTGTAAAAGACACTTTCCCTTTAAATGCGCATATGAAGTCATTTTTCTTAATTTTGCTAAGTTAGAGCAAATCTGACGCCTTGCATGCATAGAAAGAATTTAATCAGAAAAAATACACTTAATTGGTAGAATGTGCATGAAGTCTATTAGGATGTTCTTGTAACAGAAAATATGAAAAATGTTTCAAAACGTTAGATTAAAAAACTCAAAGGCATTGTCGCTGATCATTTAAACTTGAACAATGCACCGAACAATGATGTACAAAGATGCACAAAGCCGATTATACACGACGATAGTATTTGGCTACAAATAGCATATCCTGCACTTAATTAATAAAATAAAATGCACATCTTTAAATCAGCTACCATAAACTGTAACAAGGAACTAAATCTTGGTTTATTAAATAGATCGCAATAGTCCCATGTGCTATAAAGCATTGATCGTCCTTTCTTATTTCCTTGTCTGCTGGTTTGTGACCTTCCTTTGTAGACCTTGATGTTTTATAAATACAAATGTTTATTTTTTGGTAGTTTGGTAATACCTATTTAATATCATTTTTATTATTTTTCCTTATAGGTCGCAATAGTCATTGCATTCCCTTCTAAATTTCAGCTTTTGTACTTAAAAGAGAAAAACTTCTTCGCGTTTCTATATTGTATAAAGGAACTTAATTAGAATCGACAAAGTCGACACAACAGAAGTGGATCCAGTTTTTAAACCGGATGAGGGGGAGGGGCACAAATTAAGTCAAATTAAGCATTTAATTATTTATCTCTTGTTTTGATGGAACATATATGCTAAGTACTATTTGAGAAATAGATCAAAATGCATAACTTTCCAATCCTCTTAATTACTATGGATTCAGTTGGTTGTCATATTTTGAAGCAATTAAGTAAATCTTTTATTTATATAGATTTCCCTGAACTGATAATATGATCCTCCAAGTCATCTCATTTTTTCCCGTTCTTTCATTTTTATGAATTATTTCGCTTTGTTTTGTTTAAAGTATCTACGAAATATCTAGCGGACACCATCAATATTGCACGGTATGTAAAACAGGGAATAATGATGAACAGAACAGGAGGACGCAACAAAGAGAATGTATTGATAATAACATTAAACGAGAAATGCCAAACAATGAATCCAAGCCTATATGTAAGGAGAGAGATACCGATGGGAGGATTCTAAGTGAGTTGTATTTTCCTTTATTTTGTCAATCATTTTGTCCAAAGGAATATAACTTCTTGTGCGAACATTTTTTTTCAAGAACAACTGTCATTTAAGAACAGATGAAATTTGCTGCTGTTTAGAAAAACTGTCAAATTACAAAATTCCTCAACTAATGTCACACAATTATGTATACCTTTATCGGTTTCAGGTTGTGGTCCTTTACCAGCCATAGACGGTTTGTCTTGGAAAACAAGATCCGGGAGACCCATCCGAAACATGAGCACCGTGTACGAAGAGTATTTCCCGGAATGTCCTCGGATGAATATACTGGAAAGTAATTTCAGCAGTATCCGGTGTGGGGAAAAGCTAACGTGGAACGTAAATCCGACAGAATTCCGATGTCTTAAAGGTAAGAATACATACATATGTATGCTTTTCAATGAACGTCTAACTACTGGTATTTTCATATGTGAAAAATGAAATGTGTGTTTTTTAAAATATATTTACAATTCTTAAACTGGTAATTCCAAATAATTAGGTTGTGGGCCACTTCCAGATCGTTTTGAGTGGAGGATGGGGAATGGGAGTAAGGCTGGAAATGAAAGTTTGGCGGGATATACGTACATCGGCTTGTGTCGTCTGGAATTCAAAACACCAATAATAGCACACTGTGGCAGGGACTCCATCTGGCACGACGACCCATCCCAAGTTATTTGTCCATCAGAGAAATGTGGTAAAAAATTATGAAGACTGCAACTAAATATGGAATCGATTGAAGCTTTAATTAATGGTTCAAGAAAAATATCGCCTACATAAAGTCTAATTATCATTAGTGAAATTTATGTAGAATCAAATGTTATTTGAAAGAAATCTTCTTTAAATAAATGTATGAATTTCATTGCAGATGAGTGGTACTGCAGTATGGAAATTCAAATTGGTGAGAACAACCTAGTAACTATATGCAGGCTTTTTATAACACAAGATTAAGAAAAATATCATCCTGCAGTGAAAACTATTTTGTGATGATTTTTTCCCCCAATTTTTATAGTTTTCGCTCTGGTAATGTTGCTGATACCCGTCGTTATTGCCTCCTTGTATTGTGTACGCGTCAGTAAGAAATATGCAAAACGTTCACTAATTCGAAAACATGTACCTGGTACGTATAATCTTTTTTTTTTTAAATTTAGTTGTTATCTCTTTTAAATGTATGACACAAGGGAGTAAAAAAAAAAATTTTAGCAGACAAGTGGGAACCTGATATACCCACATCTGATACCGAGAGTTGTAATGAGACTACAGATACTGAATCTACAAATCAATCCACCGAGGAAAGTAGAAAACCCATGGAACACATGGAGATTCCTTTCTGCAAGCAAGGTACTAGTACAAAACCTCCAATAAAAAAATATAGAGGAGCCCTGGATACCCTCGTTCGCTTAAGTTTCAGAGAAAAAAAATTTTGACAATGAATTTTAATACATGTTTTGTACTACTTGCGATTACGAATGATCCTTAATTTTCAGATGAAAATATAAAGGTATTTCAGACATTACGGACTGGGGTGAACCAAGAGGGAATATTGGAATTTACTGTTCAGAGAGGTAACATGTATTTTCCTTTTCTAGATAAACATACTAGTAACTGAATACATGTATTAAGTCTATTCTTGAATTATATGTATGGCATGTCAAAAGTTGCAATATTCGATCTTTTCCATTTGTATTGTATAATTTTCCATTTGTATTGTAAAATTTTCCATTTGTATTCTATAATTTTTCATTTGCATTGTAAAATTTTTATTTGAATTCAATAATTTTCCATTTGTATTGTATATTTTTTATTTGTATTGTATATTTTTTATTTGTATTGTGCACTTTTTTCATTTGTATTGTATATCTTTTATTTGTATTGTATATTTTTTATTTGTATTGTGCACTTTTTTCATTTGTATTGTATAATTGTTATTTGTATTGTATAATTTTCCATTTGTATTCTATAATTTTCCATTTGTATTGTATAATTTTCCATTTGTATTGTATAATTTCTCATTTGAATTGTATACTTTTCCATTTGCATTGTAAAATTTTACAATACAAATGGAAATTTATACAATACAAATGGAAATTTAAAGAATATGAATATGAAAATTCTACAATACAAAAGAAAATTATACAATACAAATGGAAAATTATAGAATACAAATAATCATTATACAATACAAATAAAAAATTATACAATACAAAATGAAAAAAAACATACAATACAAATGAAAAATTTTACAATACAAATGAAAAATTATAGAATACAAACGGAAAATTATAGAATGCAAATAAAAATTATACAATACAAATGAAAAATCATAGAATACAAATGAAAAATTATAGAATACAAATAAACATTTTACAATACAAATGAAAAATTATACAATGCAAATGGAAAATTATAGAATATAAATGGAAAATTATACAATACAAATGGAAAAGATCGAATATTGCAACGTTTGACGTGTCATATGTATGAACCAAATTCATTGTTAACGTATTTTAACATCCAGGGGAACTTGTTTACATTGCAACGAAAGAGATCATGTTAAACTCAAACAGCTTTCAAATAAGGCGTAAAGACGAAGTCCACTATCGAGGAGCAGCTATATATCAATTCCTACACTGCATAAAGGAAATAGAACTTTCGGATGCTGGTTTATATTACTGGACCACCACCGAAAGCTGGCCAAAGAGAAATGCATTTTTGTTGAGGGTGGAAGGTGAGGAATAAAAAATATCATGCGACTGATAATGTTTTTTTCCTATAGTTGCATAATTAAATACTCAGTAATGCACGATTCTTACAACTGAATTTACAAAAAAAAATTATTCAGTTTGCTAAATATTTTTCATTAAATCGCATTTATTGAATCAGTCATGGCTATAAAGTTATCTTTACAGATCGGGGACAACCTGATGGTCTTGAGTCCATTAATTCCAGTTTCCACTTGAGTTGCGATGTGCAACAGGACGTTCTTGATTGTGAGTTATTTTTTATAAAATCTAGATGATTGATTTATTTGTTTGACCCCATTCTAGCATATAGAGATGTTTCACAAGGTATTTTCCCTTCAGATTTTTCTTCCATTTCGAACATGTGTTTGGCTTCCCCACCTTCATCATTATCCACGACTAAAGGTAAATAAATTTTATTGATATAAAATATCTTCGTGTCAGCTTTTACCAATGTTACTTTTTGTATACTACCGAAAGCATCCAAACCTGTACTTATTTTGCAGATGAACTAGAATGTAAGCTGAAGATAGATGCAATCTTTAGGGATATGGAAGATCTCCGGAAACAGCTTTGTTATTGTCTTGATAGTTCGACTTCCTTTCAGTTGCGAGGATGCTGGCGCGTAATTGCCAAAACTTTCCTTAACCGAACAGATGCATATATTTCAAGTGTGGAGTAAGTATTCTGTTACATGCGCGGATCTAGGGGGGTGGGGGTCCGGACCCCCTGGAATTTGCAGAGATATTAAAAGTATAAGATAAGATTTATTGATACCAATTTGGGACCCGTTAGGGCATACAAGTAAAGAATAATACACATAAAAAGACATTCAAAATTTACGAAAGCCTATTGAGCTCATTTTCGTAGATAAAAAAAATATATTTTTCGCGTTATAGCTCGAAACTTTCGCGAATAAACGCGTAACTTTCGCGTTATAACGCGAAACTTTCCCTGTAAAACAGAGACATTTGCATAAGTCTACAGTTTGTTTTACTTTTTAATGATCTAGTTTATTCATTACAGTGAAAAACGAAATACTATTTTGAACTTGGATTATCACGAGCTGACATTTTATGTTTTCTCGCCATTGAATGTGTCTGTCCTCTTTCTAAATCTTTTTTGCCGTCACATTTTGTCTTTCTCCTTGCTGTTCAATACAAGTGTTGAAGCGTATAGTAGGGGAGCGAAAATACAAGTCTAATTTTAATTAGATTGAACACTCTATATAGAATTTGAAATAAAAGATCTCAGAAAATTGACAACAATGAGGTAAATTTGTATTTCACGGAACAATTGTGTCACATCACATGAGTAACCTAAGGTGAAAATTGGATGACAAATATTCGTATCAATATATTTCATCTCCGATAGACTCACTGAAGAAATACAACATTGTATTTTAAGGTTGCACCATTTGGTCATATCATTACTTACGAAAACATTGACAATTTACTCAAAGAAAGCAACGAGTGGAGATCTTCCTGAGAAAAAAAATTAGTCTACAGAATTTCTTGGATTCAACAAGTGAAAAACAAGAAAATCTTTAAAGGAATATTCATTTAATTAATTAGTAGGGTTTTGAAATTAAATGCAAAATCAACACTAATCTATCCATTTCTCGCATCAATCTCTTTTACATCTTCTGAAGAAATGTCATTTATAAATTCACAGAAGTCCCTCTCTGCGTTCATGTTTTTTATCTGTCAGTCAAGATCACAGGTTATTGAGTAACATGACTATATATGTATCATTTCGCGTTATAACGCGAAAGTTTCGCGTTTATTCGCGAAAGTTACGCGTTATATCGCGAAAGTTACGCGTTATAACGCGAAAGTTTCGCGTTATAACGCGAAAAATATATTTTTGTTACCTACGAAAATGAGCTCAATGGGCTTTCGTAAAAATTGCAGCAACATGTCGACATTAAAAAAAATAATTTAAATAGAAAGTATGTTAAAAGTATATATTGGAGCAAATAAAATATGACTTTGAAACATCCCCTCCCCCCACGCCCACCCCCAGGAAAACGTGGACCCCACCGATACCACGAGATAGTTTTTTTCTCGTTTGAGAAATGGATTTTATCTTTTTTTTACTTGTCAAAAAATTTCTGGGTTGGAAATTTTTTGACTGGGGTAGGTCCCCCCCCCCTGGATCCGCGCCTGTGTTAACCTGTGAAAGTAAATTAATGGTCAAGTTAATTAACTCTTTCGTTATTATGTCGTCTTAATCAACAATAATAAATAAAATTGTTGCAGGTATTTTGAATGTTACATCAATATATTACATAGTTTGTGATCCGGAAAATTGAAGAACAACTTTATGACAAGATAATTAAGTGTAGTCATTTTTTCAAAAAGATATTGGAGTAAACAGCAGTGTATAATTTTCATAAAATAATTCTTGCAGAACACTTTTCAAAGATTCAAAACTAACCTGTGCGCAAAAGCTTATGGCTGAAAACTTGAAGCACAGGGGCGTCTTACCTACTCAGTTCTCTGTTACACCTGTGTATTTATTTTATGTGTAATAGAGAACAGAGCGGATAAGATGCCCCTGTGCGTGTAGTTCATTTTTATTGCTGAAATTGAATGAAAAAATACACATTTTTTCCCAAGAAGGGGGGGGTTGCACCCCAGTCAAAACCCAAAATCCATTTCCCAAATGTGAAAATAAACCTTTTTCGTGGTAGTGGGGTCCACGTTTCCTAGGCTGGATGGGTCCAAATTCATATTTTTGATTTGCTTTAGTATATACTTTTAATAACTGCAAATTCAAAGGGGGGGGTTTGACCCCCCCCCAACCCCTATATAGATCCGCGCATGTAAAATATTTAAACCGTTGTAGCATCATAAGCAAAGTAAGAATAAATTGCCTTCTGTCTTTGATGCATCACTGAGGTAACATTTTTTTTCTTTTCGATTAAACGATTTTAATTTCACTCTTGCAGGTGGCACAGAAAAGGGGACCCTGATAACGGTCCATCAAATCTAATTTTAAATGATTTATGCAGGGCCAACCAGAACCTTTCTATCGGCCAACTTGTAGCAAATTTACCTCCAAATTTAGATTTACTGAACACCATTTTAAGGTTTCATGATGATTGTTATTTTTGCAATCGTCTTTTGTACGAAACCCAACAAACAGAACCAAAAGTATTTTGAAGTGCGTGAAAATAAAATTAAAGGTGGATTCAAACACTTTTAATAGATACACTGTGTATTTTGAAAAATGAAAAAAAGTGCTGATGGGCTGTTCAAGGTATCTAGATAAATGGCATGTTTTGACAGCATGTAAATGGAACACTGAAGATTGCAGGTCTGTAGTAAGCTTCTTTATACAGGGGGCAGTGCTGAGATGCTAAACCATGTAGGAGGGGGGAGGCATTGTACCAGAATGATAATAGACAAACTAAAAAAAAAATCATAGAATGTAGACATTCCTGAAATCCTGTGTGGGAAGGGAGTGGGATGGGGCTTGAAAGATATCTCAAAGGTAAAGTGGATCTCTCAGCATCTGTCATTATGTTGCCAAAATTTTTGGGAAGGACTGTCATGTCTCTCTCCCAACAACATTGATCACTTGCTAGGAGAGTTTATTCAAATCAAAAAAGATCGGCAAGAGCCAGGATAATGAGAATTTAACTAAGATTTGCACTCAGCACTATATTTTTGACGTTTTTTTTTTTAAATTAAAGTTGTTTTTTTTTTTTTACAAATATTTTTAAATTGTAAATAATGAGGGAAGGAAATAAGCGTATTTTTCCTGTAACATATATTAACATTGCAGTAGAAATGAATGCATATAAAAGGAAGCAAATAACTTGTTAAAGCTAAAACGCTGGTGATATCTTCAGTTTGTGCAACTTTTTGCATTCTGACGATGGGAAGTTTGTCACGTATTTTGAGGGAAACTCTAGTCGTAAAAAAGATATGTAGACCCCTTATTTAAACATTACCAAGGAAAACAGCACTGCCCTTAATCACTATAGACGATGTCTTTTACAATTGTTCGTTTATACCGGCTAATTTAATTACTAGTAAATATTTTCATAATTATTTTATACACGTTTTTCTTTTTTTTTTTTCTTTTTTTTTCTTTTTTTTTTTTTTTTTGTATAAAGACATTTACGATGCAGTATTTAGTTTTTGAACAAAAAAGTTATTGTGTTCAGATAATGAAGATTATCATTGTTATCATACATTTAAAAAAAAAAAAAAAGAAGATCTTTGTGCAATATAAATATATATGGTATGTAAATATACATGCTTTTATTATTATTATTATTATGCGATTCACTTCATTTAAATACATATCCATGCTACAATTTCAAATTACAATAACATTTTTTTTCTTTTTTGTATGTTAAATGATGTTAAAGATTACACTGATGCATATCATTTTGTATATACATATATATTTAAGATATTGTTTATTTCTAAAAATAAATGTTTAAATGTTTGATTTTGGATTATACATAAACATCAAAAAAGTTTTTGAAAAAAAGCCGAGTCATGAAAACTTCGGAGTAGACCAACGTATGGGTAATACATATACATGTTTCCAGATGTGTATTTCCAGCGCTTGAGTCCATGACATATTTTTGAACATGTTGGCTTCCAAGTTACTTTCGCTTCACGTTAAATTTTTTTGCAACAACAACACATAATTATGGAGATATTAATATTTTCTATCATTCTTTTGAAGAATACCATTTGATTTGGATTCGTTTATTTTGTAATAAACCCTTGATATTATAAACTTGAATGAGTGATACATGTACAAGTGTCATAAAATATCAATACATTTGAAGCCGTTCATATTTCGAATAATTGCAAGTGATGTATATTTTTCAGATGAGCACGACCTTGAGCAAATTTGCCATAGTTTTTTTTAATTTGATTACATTTTATTATTTGCTCAATTTGTCTATCATAAAATTTATACGAAAATGGTTTCATAAAATTTCAAACTTTTTATAACGTGAAATGGCAATTGTATACTGAAAACAGTCTCGAATCACTTTTCCCTTGCATTGATTTCAAATTGTTGACCTAATTTTAAATCTCTTCCTCATGTGGGGAAATACCCGTTTAAATACCCAAGAGTAACCGAAGGCCAAAACTTAAATATAATTTTTTTAAGCTATGAAGCTTATCATTTCCTCATTTTTAAATAAAAAGATCACATGTTTAGATAAGGTCAACCCATTTTTATTGGCCCCTAGTGTTCTACAGATCGAGTTGACAAAATTCGTCTGCCGGAGACAAGGTGGCAACTCGTCTAAAGAAAAAAGGGGGTTTGGGGGGATTTTCTTTAGCATTCATGAATTCAAACTGCTGCACTGCATAAAAGCAATTGAGCTATCAAAACAAGGTATCTGCGGAAAAATAGGCGTCTCATTGTATAGAATATTATATTATAGCGTCTTTTTCTAACATTAACTGCATAAAAGCAAATGAGCTATCAAAACAAGATATCTGTGGAAAAAATAGTCCCATTGTATAGAAAATCGTCTTTTTCTATCAAATTTAAACTTTGTATATAGTTTTGTTTATTCGCTCATCTCCTTGTATACCTGTCGTAACAATTGAGCAGTGCACATAATGAGATTTCTATGATATAATACTAGTAGACAGAAAGAGTTACAGATAATGGTCGCTTCGGACTGACATACTTCATTTATAAACTTTGCAATTTATTGGATCTTCATCCATCAGTTGCATTTTTTGTGACCAAAATAATAGTCTGGAAAAACAATGCAGGAAAAAATTGAATACATCATGATGCCCTTTCACATTAAAATGGGCTACATTGTTTTCTTGCCAACTTTAACAGAAATGTAACGTGAATTACAGACGTGTACTATTATATATTTCTCGTACTTTTTTAACTTAAAAAAGGCGCATATGGCACACTTGTTCGTATTATTGTACGTACTTATATAGAAAATACATAGGTCAAAACAAAATCTACTGCAGAATGGGTGTGTAATGTATTTCAAAATATATACTTTCTCAATTTCTCGAGAACTGAATTGCTCCAAAATAATATATGCGGAAAAGCAGGATTTTTTTTTTCGCGGAAAGGCAGTGTCGAATCGCGGAAAAATGAAAATAAAAATTCAACTTCCATTAGAGGTACAGTAATGAAAGCTTGTATCACTGGTTAATGTTCTATGACTGAATTCGATTTTTTTTTTTACAAAGCCTAGTCCTTTCTAAGTATTTACTATTATAGTGTAAAATAATATACCGACGTACTTTGATATTCCGAGAACAGATATTTCAAGATGTTGCGATACACCTATACTAATAGTTGTTAACTAGTATCTATACATATGTGGTAAACGCTATACATGTAGGAACATATTCCATACCAAACTATATTATGCATTTTTATTTCTCAACTATGGTCAATATCAATAGTCCTTTTTGTCCATAATACGAAGATCTTTATCATTTCTTTTTTTATTCGTAAAATTATCCAAATGCTCGAAATAATCTATTTAATCGCTTGTTTATGATTGATGAATTGGTACATTTGTTATGATGGAGGATGCAATGAATTTGCCCTCACAGATTAATAACAATATTTTTGCTGCTGTCATATATTTATTGATGAAACCTGTAGATTTGAAATTGCTATATTTTCTAACATAATTTCCATTGTAAATTTAAAATTTCATTAATTGTATCATTTTGCATGACATATAATACTTGTAAGTTGTAAGAACTTGACATGTAATTCAATAAAATACTCGATGTTCAAAACAAAACAACACGTTATTAATTAAAAGTGCTTGCCTCTAAATCAACTCCTTTCCTTTCGTACCTGCATGGGGAACCAGGCCCGTACGTAGGAATGGTTTTATTGGGGGTGAAGGGTGGGGGACAATTAGAACCTATTTTTCGAAAAAAAATTTCATATATAGTTAAATATAGTTTGAATGTAAAACTTTGAACAAGATAATCAGAATTGATTTAATTATAAAACTGAAACATTATATTGCTTTATTTATTTTTCGTCTACTTAATACATGGAGTTCTCAACACGAATCTATTTAAACCTGATTCCAAGGAAACTTCCTACTCATAGTTGTGGCTTTCCCCCATTTTTTGATTTAGTTTCTGAGCAACTAGTCTACACTTACACAATTAAAAATTCTCACGCCTCCAGTGTGCAATATGCCATAAAGTTTGAAAAGTGGCATTTTTCAACATGTTCAGAGCCCCATAATGTTTGCAACAGTGCAAACAAGTGGCAATTACTCCTTCCAAAAGTTGAAGGCCTGATGTTTTAAATGCCTGATAAACATGTTTAGGAAATCTACTATTGAATATGTTACTATGGAAACAAAGCATTCAAAAGTAATACTTTCATATATTCGTTTTTATAAAGTCATACACTAACAAATAAAAGCAAGTACAGGTTGAAATGCAACCAATTACTGTAAATCGCATTTTATTCGCGAGACAGTGTGGTCACGAAAATTTCATTCTCGCGTTTATTAGTATTACTAAAGATTATATAGAGCAAAAATCACAATTCGTGAAAATTTTGTATCGCTAATAAAGAGTAAATGATTCTTTAGCGAAAATAGGGTGTCGCCAAAATTAAGTGATCTACAGTAATAGAAAAAGATCCTTGTAACACATACCAAGGACAATATTTGATATTTCTTATTTGTTGGTAATGGTTGTTATGGTTTTAATACAGCAAAGGGATAAAAAATTTAGTTTCTGTATTTTTTAATCTGATCCTATCTTTTTAAAAAGCATATTTTTATATAACTGGTGATCAATTTTTAAAGGCACTGGTGTTGTCATAATTTTCAAGTTTCAAAAAATTCAGATTAAGTTCTTTAAATTTAGTGTAGCTTTAGAAATAAGCAGAAAAAATGTATAAAAAGCTGAAAAATATTTTGTTTCCTTGGATACGCACCCTTGTATGTAATTTCCCAAAACTTTTATGATCGATATTTATGAACACCGCTAGCTAACCTGACTTTCAATTTTGACTACCACACAATCTCTTAACTGGATGCAAGAAGCTACCATATGAGGTTTAATATTGCTATAAAGAGAACAAAATCGAACATTTTCTCTTCCTGGTGACCATAGCAACAGTTTTTTTTCTTCATCAAACTTTACCAATATATGATATTTAGTTCTCTCAGATAAGCATTTTCAAGATGAATCAACTATGTTTCTTGATTGAAAGGTAACCAAGTTCCTAAAGTAACAAAAATATCACTTTAAACCAATGGTACGTTGTTTCCATGGTTACAGTGCAAAGTAGCAATTTATCCCATTGTTTCTTGTGCTCTCTGTGTTACAAGGTTCTAACGATGTACATTTGCCAGTGTTAACTTTCCGTGATTTTCCTTAGGATAGTAGCATAATACTAGCATTTACCAAAATCCTATCAACTGTTCTTGAGAAATAGTTTTTAAAGACGTTCTCCTATGTATTCCTATGCAAAACTTTGATCGTCCATTGAAGCCCCTATCCCCGGAGGTCATGATTTGAACAAACTTGATTCTACACTACTGAGGATGTTTCCATATAAAAATCATGGCTTTGCTGTTCTTGAGAAGAAGATTTTTAAAGATTTTTTCCTATGTATTCCCATGCAAAATTTGATCGCCCATAGAGGCCAAACCCTACCCCGGGGGTCATGATTTGAACAAACTAAATTCCACAATACCTGAGGATGCTTCCATACTAATATGACAAATACTGGTTTTCCTGTTCTTGGGAAGAGGATTTTTAAACATTTTTCCTATATGTAAAACTTTGATCGCCCATTGTGGCCCCACTCTACCACTGGGGGTCAAGATTTGAAAAAACTTGAATCTACACTGCCTGGGGATGCTTCTATATAAATTTCATATTTTCTATCACAGTGGTTCTTCAGAAGAAGATTTTTAAATGATGCCATTAATTTTTCACAAAGTCGTTATTATCTTCCCTTGGAAGAAGACGTGGCCCTTCATTTGAACAAACTTGAATCCTCTTTACCCAAAGATACTTTGTGGTAAGTTTGGTTGAAATTTGCCAAGTGGTTCTTGAGAAGAAGTCGAAAATGGTAAAAGTTTACAGACGGACAGACAGACAGACGGACGACGGACAAAATGTGATCAGAAATGCTCACTTGAGAATTCAGCCCTGGTGAGCTAAAAAAGGAGATAACGCATAATATATAATAAAAACCAATAGGAGGTAGTTGCGGAAATTGAAAAGCATATCGGCCCCTCTAATATTAGGGTACACATACATGTAAGAGATATCGACTGAACAAGTATGTGGGACAACCAAAACTAAGGACATGGAGTTTATCTTTTTTTGCATCTTTGGAATCAGATTACGAAAAGCTCTATGTATTGAGTGGAAATAGAAAAAAAATCGATTTAAAGTTAATGTTTGATAAATTTTAATCCTGATTATTTTGTTACTTTAATTTTTAGTGTATCAAATAAGACCACGAGAAATTATATGAACTACCCCCGCCTCTATAAAGATTACAATTACATGTATATAAATTGTCCTTTTTTACATTTTACTAATGAATGAAACACAATCCCTTTGAAATGAAAAAAAATATGTGGATTCAGTTTGGACTAAAAGTACATAAATTCTTTCTTAATAATAATAGTAACAAAATTCGTCCTTTATTATTTTCATATATATTGACAAATATTTAGATAGCTTCAAACTAAACTTTACAAAAAAAAAATTGTCCATCTTCTGGCCAAATAGCATCTCGAATAAGGAGCTGGAAAAAAGGAACACCACTCTATTTAAGTATCATGTTGTAAATTTTGAATTTATCATGTGGAGGTATAAGCAAAATTTACAACATGATAACTTATTATGTTGTAAAATTTGCATTTAGTTCCACCTAGCAAATTCAAAATTTACAACATGATATAAGGAAACAAGAGAGAAAAACGCCCGTGGATAGGCCACATTTATGCAGAAGGCACCCGACCTCCATCTCAGGGGTTGAACTTAGATGGATCCCAGCTGGAGAGAGAAAGAGGAGTACACTAACAGAGCCTTGAATGAGGCCAGTAGAGAGAGAACAAATGGACATACACTGGGCAGGTCCAGAAGTCACATACCAAAAATCAGCTCAATATCTGCAAGCGTTTAGAAAAAAATTGCGGAAAACCCTGAAAAATTGAAATGGTCGTAATTCCGTAAAAAATCATTGAAGCAGAACGAAATGTAAACTTGATCTGTAACTCATCAAGATACACTCACATACCAAAAATCAGCTCAATATCTGCAACCGTTTGGAAGAAAAGTGCGGAAAACCAAGTGGGACAGACTGACAGACAGACAGAGGGACAGACAGACAGACAGACGGACGGACGGACTCAGAGGAAACCTATAGTCCCCTCCGGTTTCACCGGTAGGGGACTATTAAGAAATCTGGACAACTAGCAGAAAATCAAAATATTCCAAAGTGCTTTAATGTTAATTGTGTGTTGTGTTTGTAAAGAAAGTCAAATTCTCGTTCTCAGTTCTCTTTCATTGTATGCATGTAATATTTGAAATTGTGCCCTATGCTAATTATTTTATTCTGGGCAATAAAGATAATTTCAAACCATCAGTTAATTTATAATTCATAGCAACCCCTCCCCTCCAATGTGGAGCAGAGAATAAATATAGATATTCTTTTTAAACACATATTTTTATCAATCAACTTCTAAAGTAGAACAAGCATTCTGAGAGTATTGCATTAGCAATACTAGTCCCCTACCGGCAAGTGTAATCTGGTTCCCGTTAAGAATTGAAAATGCCATAATTCCGTCAAAAATTAATGAAGCGGGACGAAATGCAAACTTGATCTATAACTAATCAAGGTAAAGCCACATACCAAAAATCAGCTCAATATCTACAAGCGTTTAGAAGAAAATTGCGGAAAACCCTTAAAAATTGAAAAAGCCGTAATTCCGTCAAAAATCAATAAAGCGGAACGAAATGCAAACTTGATCTGTAACTCATCAAGATACACTCACATACCAAAAATCAGCTCAATATCTGCAAGCGTTTAAGAAAAAAGTGCGGAAAACCAAGTGGGACAGACTGACAGACAGACAGAGGGACAGACAGACAGACGGACAGACAGACAGACGGACAGACGGACGGACAGACTCAGAGGAAACCTATAGTCCCCTCCGGTTTCACCGGTAGGGGACTAATAAGGGTCTTAATCAAACTCGCGCTATTAAATATGTATATTAATATTAATTATAATTAAGTTACAACTATTCTGAGATTCTTTCGTCACTTATTTTTTAAAAGTCCCCCCCCCCCTCTCTGGTGTTCAGTCATTTTTTACATGCTGCACGATACATATTTTTTTTTCAAAATTCAATGAAGTATCCTTACGAACCCTTGGAAATCATGTAAATATTAACACAATAAATATTATAACACATAATATTTATAAAACACACACACACACACACACACACGCACACACACAATAGCAAGCAGACAAACACGGATAGCAGCAATAATATAGGACCGGTAGGACTCAAAGAGCTTGCTTTCTGTCAACCAATGTTTCCTGTTATATTATACCATATTTTATTTGACAATGACAAGCAGAAAATACAAGGAAGTAGAACATAAAAAATATAAAGGATTCGAAAATGTCCTTCTGTAGTGAGGGTTACCCGGTTAGGTTATTCTAACTAGTATATTGCAGACATTGATTTAGCGTGCAGTACAGCAAAATAACGGATGAAAGGGGAGGGGGCATGAAGCATCCACATCTTAGTGTGGGTCCTCCTGAAAACCAAGTTGATTCTCATTTGTATTGCGTGTTAAGGAATTGTTTGAAAATAGGGAGGGGGCCCACCCATTCAGAAAGATCTGAATCAGAAAATGCTCGTCAAAAAGAAGAAAAAATAAAAAAAACAACTCAAATCTATTTCGTGCGTTTGTATGTGTGTTTAAAGGGTGGGGTGGGGGAAGGCAAAGTGGTTTCCTTTATACACATGATTCTCTATATCAAAATACAAGGTCCATGTTTTCAGGGGGGGGGGGGGGGGTCCGAGGCCATTTTTGGATTACTTTACTGTATAAATTTAACAATTCTGAAAATCCCTGGGTGGGTGGGGGTGGATGGATGTGGGGGAGGGGGTTAGACCCCTACCCCTTAGATCCGTGCATGACATAACCCCTAGAAACTGTGTAAAATAATGTACGACCCTCAACCAGTTTGAAGAACTGTCGTAATTAATGGCAATGAAGTTTTCGCGTTTGATAAGGTACTGTACACTTCAGAAAGTTTTAATTTCTCAATACAATGTATTAAAAACACAATCTTTCATTGTGAATACGCTATCAAGCTTTGTGTGATTGAAGGTACATTTTATTACATTTTCAACTGTGAAATACTGTGATTTATTTATTGAATAAAAGTGATATTCTCTCACAGTGTGAAAGGATACCAAAATGATATTCTCTCACAGTGTGAAAGGATATCAAAGTAAGTAAAAAAAAAATAATTTCTGGCCTGTCATAAGATAGAGATAGTAACTAACCATCTTGATAGAGCTAAAACTGCACATTTCTTCCCAAATATATTGCTAAAATCCATGCTATGTAATGTTTTCAATCTCACAACTGCTAAGCTAAGACGTCTTAACCGCTCAACTATGACGTCAAGCTTATGACACTGTGTTAAAATACAGGGGCAAAGGGAAAATCAAAGAAAATGTAATAAACAGAAAATTCAATGTTTTGTAGATGAATATGGAATTTATTTCACTCGTGAGACAGGATTTTTTGATATTTTCACTCGTGCTTCGCACTCGTGAAAATATCAAAAAATCCTGTCCAACTCGTGAAATAAATTCCATATTCATCTACAAAACATTGAATATCCTCTATTTATTTATGTACTGTATTTATAATGCAATAATGCAGAGCCTGAGGTGGATTAAGCAGCTGGCGAGCGCTCCCTCTAAAATGAAGAAATTATAAACTGTGTATAAATGTTTTATTTTCACATCTACCACTCCATCTGGAAATCCTAGATCCGCCTCTCTAATTACCAAAACCATTGAAAGTAACGTGTCTTTTGAAGGAGACGGATTTTTTTAAGGATAATATTTTTTTGGATGCAGCTTATTCAATATATACACATCAATGGAAGCAATTTGAGTTTGCTATCCCCCCCCCCCAAAAAAAAGAGAACTTTATTTGAACCGTTGGCTATCATGGCTACAGGGTGTATAAAACTATAAATTCATTAATAGCTGAATTCTGTGACAGAAATTATTGGTATAGATTGATTTGCTAGTTTCGTCATTTAAAAAAAAAACATTTAATAGGAGAAATTTTCTTTGTTAAATAACTAAATTTCTATGAATTCATTCATATAATTTTTGAAATACGACAAGTGACCCTAGCAACGCACATTTAAGTTACTTTTGTTCCCATTAGATTATCAGGTAGATGAGATCAGCGAAAAAAAACGGGATAAAAAGTTTCACACTCTACCAAATTTAAAATAGGTGAGAAGTGTCAAATTAAGTAAAGGCCGGTGAATCATGTAATAATGTCATAAATAAAACATAAATATAGACAAACTACAAGTCACTCGCTCATCTTCGTCTTTATTTAGCGTTTAATTTTCACGAATTTAACTAAATAAAATGGATATTTTAAAAGGGTATATTCAAAATTTGAACAAAGTGAATTTTTTTTCAGTTAAACAAATGTCTGATAAGCAAGAGAAAAGAAATTAAAAGTAACAATAAATAATTTAAGAAATGAAAGCTTTTGTGAGATCCTTAACAACCGCATCTACTTCATGTAAATATATCTTAAGGATGGTTTCCTTTTTTCTTACAGAGGTTCAGTCATTTTCACCCTACTCTAAAGATCTATGGGAGATAACTCGTTTTTTTTCTGTTTCTCACGGTAGGATTTATCGTTCACAATTCAATCTTGAACCGAGCATGCGCAGTCATAATTTCCCGCTGTATATGAAAACAAAACAAAATGTGGTGACCGAGGAAAGTGTCAACATTAACCGTTTTCATAAATAACAGGCTAGGTTGGTATTCATCGATAGAAAATATGCAGATGGTTCGGTTCCACAATTGTAACTATTGAATCACGACAGAATCTGTATATTTATAGAAAAATGTAAAAAGAATGGCAAGTGGAGGTGCGTCTTTCATTGGAACACCTGTGACAGGGTTGACTGTTGGACACTCGAGTCCAGTGCGGCCAGTGAAGACAGCAGTGATGAAGAAGTCGTCAGCTTCTGAACTGCTGGACCAGATACGACAACTAGAGGTGGAGGGACAGAAGCTGAGGACCTCTAACTTAGTGAATCTGGGTAAGGGACTGAGGAGTCGTGAACAGACATGTCCTGTAGATTTAAAACTCCGATTTTCTGATTGTTCTAACCTGCTGTATCAGAATATATGTGACCTCCCATCTTTAAAAAGAAAAAAAAATATGACAAGGATTTGTGTTTAAGTTTTGACAATAAATTTATTGTATATTAGATTCTTATAGATATTTAGGAAATATAAGAAGATACATGTCATGTCTCTGATATAAGTAGAAAATCCAATTTTAATCAGTTTTATTTTTATTTTTTAATTTTTGTTAAAAATATTACTGTAGTAGAATGTGTTTTCTTTCCTAAATTGAAAAATATGCACAATTCTAAATTTATTCCTTGATCAGTTAATGGATGCATTTCATTCTCTTATGTATTTTAAGAAAAACGTAATATATTGATTACTAAAGTCTAATCTGTGAAATCAATCATTACGAAAGATTTTGATTATCATTGCAGAATGGACATTATTCTTAATAAGCATAAAAATGACTATAGTGTATTCTTTTAGGGGGGTATTTATCATATGTTTGGTGGAATTATTATTTTTTTTTTTTTAATTTTTTTCATGAAATTCCTGAACTTAATTGAAGTATAAAGTATATAGCACAGTGATTTCTATGATCACATTATTTTCCGTTAATTAGTATAAACTGTGCATAATTATAATTTAGGCTTACTAAAACACCCCAATATGTGCAGAATTTTTACAAGTATTAACTTTCTACATGTAGTTTCTATTAATTTTGTGAAATTTCTTATTTATTTAGTTTATAAACTTTATATATAATACTCAAATTTTCTTTTTATGATTTTATTTAAATTGCAATGAACATGGATTGAATAATGCAAACAGGAAAATTTTTGCCTCATTTGGGCACATTTAAAACAAGGCAAATATAAGGAAGGCAGCGTTATCTCTTAAAAACAACTATGTCTGAGCAAATTTTTATTAAGAAAAAATTGTTTAGAAGTGTGAAAGGGCAAAAAAAAAAACCCCTGTGTAATCAGTGTATACAGCATTTTTAAATGAATTTAGGTTGATTTTTTATCCTTTGTTTTTGTAATGCAATGATTAAAGAAGGGGAAAACAGAATCAAATTAAAAAAAAACCCTTTAAAACATGTATACATGTGATTATATCTTTTAAGTCAACATTTCTATAAAAAGAGTGATTGTTGGTGTAATCATTTCGTATTATCAACCTGTGACATACATTACAAATACAATCAGTGTACTTTTGATGAACTTCAATAATGACTATCAGAATTTAAAGAAAATGATATTGTTTTAGGGATGTAGTATGGCACACAGATCTGGACAAAATTGAGAATTTCACCTAAAATACCCTTACATCAAAAATAAATTTAATGTTATTTTCTGTGAATACTTAAAAAAGATATGTTATTTTTAGTCATAGCTTTAAAAAATGAATTCATTGTTTTTTAATGAAAGTAAAAGCAAACCAGAGGACCGTAAAACTTAGTAAGTTCAGTTTTGTCAAAAATCTTATAAGATGGGTCGCTATAGTTTGTTCTTTTAAAAAAAATCCAAACTGTCCGAAAATTATGACTGTAATATTCAGTCCTTTAAAAATCTTGTGCAGTTATATTAGTGAATAGTTCTTGGTAAGAATACTCTTGTATATATGTTAAAACCATTTTGGAAGTATTTTGCCAGACAATATTAGAGACAGGAGGGATTAAGCTAAAAATCTTGTGTGATCTTTGCTTACAAAAGGATCATTAGGCCCCAATACATAAAAATCTAAGGTATTAAACTTCAATAGAAAAGGACTTAAGCAAGACAGCGCTTCTGGGTTTTAGACATTTAAATTGCAATTTTCAGAGGGACAGTTTATTATTTGTATACACTTTGTAGTAGAAATATGCAGGCCATATTTGTATACTGTGAACAGAAGTACCTAATATTTGACAACTTCAGTGGCCAGAATGGTTCTTCACACATTGTTTATGTTTGCTGAATGGTCATATCTAAACAGAGCTTAATTGGTTTACATAAACCAACAAACTGAAGCAACTTGCTAAACAGGAGCGCCAACTTTTTGTAAGTAATACAAAAACTTGGTGCTCCTGTTAAGCAAGTTGCTTCAGGCCAGTCTTGCTGCCTGAGGGTAGGGGTTGGGTGGGTGGGGAGGTCACCATGTCATTGGTTTCTTGCAGATGATGACATGGGCAGGATTAGGCAGCTATTGATTTTGATAGAGCTGTCATTGACAATTTGGGTATTAGGATAAAAAATTGATCCTCTTTGATGTTGGTGGTATAGGGTTGTCAGGATCCCCAGTGGTGAATCGACAACAAATAAGCTTTTACGTAGAAAATGACATATGGCCCTCAGAGGAATCTCAGTTTATACAGAGTGTCTATACCGAGTTACCCCACATCCTGTACATGGGGGATTTAGTTATACTTAGTAAAACAGACGTGTGAGATCTTGAAATTGATTGATTGCGATCAGCAGTCTTTATTGTTAAATTGGCTTTTCTTATTACTTAGATTAAGTCAGAGTAAACATTGATGACAAGGCCTATATTTGCACTAGTTTCTTAAATTGCCATTTGGCTGTACATGCTACACATTTGCTGTGCTTCAAGTTGTAAGAAAATATTTTTTTAACAAATCACAAGTGTTTGGAGAACTTTACCTTTCTATTAATAATGTTAGAATTGGTATCTCTTCCTTTCATACTTTAACGCCTTTCTCTTGTACAAATAAAGCAATTAAACTGTAAGAAATACTTTGTATCTGGTTACCATGGATGCTCTTTACATTATTGAATGGAAAAAGTGAAATCTTGTAAACTTTATATTGAGTATCCTTGTTCAATCTCACAGGTGTGGGAAAGCTTTGAACACAATTGCTCTGTGTTACATTTTGAATGAAAAACTGTTGCAAAGTGTTTAGTTTGATTAATAAAATGGTAAGGTTAGGTCATTTTAAAGATTAAGGCAAACTTTCAAATTTTTAAACTACCCATGACATCTAGCAGGTAACTTCCACTTGGGAAAAAATCTCTCCCCTTGCTAGATGGTTTTTTTTGGACATTCAAGAACAGAGAAAGAGACTGAACCACTATATACCATATATATATATATATATATATATATATATATATATATATATATATATATATATATATATATATATATATATATATATATATATATATATATATGTATTAAAATTAAAAAATAGTGATCATCAAATATTTTTTTTATTTACATATATCCTAAACATATTCACAAGTGTAACAAGATTACATATATTTAGTTTTGCATTGTTAACTAATTAAGGCATTTTTTTTTTAAATTTGCCATTACTGAGCTGAAAAACATTTAAACAACAATTCAAGCAAGTTAAAATTACAGGAATGTTCCATGTCTTTTGATTTGGTTTCATTAAATCCAGCAACAAATATTCCATCATTTCCCACCTTCAACAGAAGCAGGAGGCTTAGGAAGGATTTTCCTGAATCTTGGCTTGGAATTGTCAACTGGGAGAGAAGGGCAGATAAACACTTGTACAGGCTGTGGCATACACTGTCCATTTTGAGGTGAATATTGTGCAGAATTTTTTGAGTTTTCAGACATAGGCATATGTAATCCATCTTGGAAAGGATAGGGATGACTTTGTATGCTTTGACCATTGGGAAAATGTATGAAAGGTGCTGCAGGGTTAGGTCCCAGTGTTACAGGTTGTTGTATCATTCCTTGACCATTGCACATTGGCTGGGATGTGACACAGGATGCCATTTGGGGATTTGCCATGGTTGGAAAAGCTGAAGGATAAGGAATGTGGCCATGTGGAAGAGAAGCATTACCCATGTTTTTGGAAGTAGAAGAATTTTTTCCATGAACTGTACGGGATTGGTTATTGTTTGGTCTCCCCATTTGAGGAGGTGGATTTGAGTTAGATTTGGTAAGCTCAATCATTTGTTGTGGGTTTGCTCCTCTGTGATTTGAGTTCATGTTATGTGGTCTTATGCCATTCATGCATTCTCCACCAGTGGGTGCTGTCAATGTTTGTCTTGGGACAAGAATAGGGTTCTGAGAATCACAGACTTGTGGCTGAGCTGGATGAACTTGTGGCTGAGCTGGATGAACTCCTGTTGGATGATGGTTGATAAACTGTGTTGCCATTTGACTGGATTGTTGGAATTGAATTTGTACAGCTGGATAGTTATTATTGCCAATCACAGAGGTTTGTACTGATGCTCTGGATCCTGGCATTTTCATTTTGATTTTGTTGTCAGTGATTTCTTGCAGAATATGTGGCAGATTACCATTACTGGGTCTTTGAGAAGGATTCTGTCTTGTTAGTGGTGATTTCTCTGCAGGATTTGGGAGGACTTGTGGGGGTTTAGCTGCTATTACTTGTGTGAGATTTTGATTTCCAAGTGTACCCTGTCTAACCGTTCCTTGGTTAGGTGATGGTTGAGATCTTGTTACTGGTAGATTAGAAAATGGATTTGCAGGTACTTGTTGATTAAACCTTACTTGATGCATTGGGTTCTCACTTGAAAATTTTGCTGGATGGTTTGCATTAGTTTTCTGAGCAGATTTTTGCTGATTAGATTGGCGCAGATCATTAACTATGATGTCACTGGCATCTTTGAACAGGTCCTCTAGGCTTTCCTTATGTATGGAGGGATAGGAGTTTGGGCGGGGTTCATATGAAATTGACACTGATGGTGTTTGCTTGATAGTGTCTGCACTAGTTGATCTCTGTTGGGGGTCAGGACAAGGCATATAACCAAGATCTACAGGCAGACGGGAAGGTTGTACTTGGGGTATTGAGTATTGAGGTGAAGTCACACCCTGGACAGGATCCAAGTAAAACTGATTATTTACACCAGTGGGACAAGGGTTTGGCAATGGCATGCTTTCTGAGAAAGATTCTTCACAGGGAAGGAGCTCAACACGTTCAGAATAATGTTCTGGGCTTGTGTGTGGATGCGTCTCTGGAGCTATTTCATTGAGGGCCTTGAGCAAATCTTCTTCATCATAAAATTTGTCAAGTTGAATTTCCGCCTCAAAGAAGTCTCCCTCATTAGGCACTAGTTGCGGCATTTGTTGATTGATCTGATTGGGTCGGGGGTAAGGCTGGTAGACCTGGGTGTGTTTTGGGTGTGACATTGGACCTTTAGTCTGATATTTAACATCTTCACTAGTGTCAGAGCTGACTTCTTTTTTAGTTTGAAGGTCATTTTCACTGACCAGTCTTTTATTCACCCTGTCATCAGAAACTGTCAGTTCTTTTAGCTTGAGGCTTAGTTCGTCACCTTGTAAGCTGAATGAAACCTGTGTGTATTCTATGTCAGAATCTTTGTTTTCCTCATTCTTGTCTCTTGGTTCACTGCTTTGATCCATCTCGTATAGCAGAGCATTAATACTTTTTCCACTTGCCTTTGCCGAGTCAATTTTACTCCTCAGACTTTGGATTGATTCAATATCAGAATCTGAGCAAGGTTTACACATTTTCTGAGTATTTTGATCACATGTCTTTTCCTTGTATGAGTTTGAACGAGTACGGCCACTCTCTGACTTACCGCTTTTCTCTGCTGTAACTTGAGAACTTCCGTTTATAAGTTTCTTTTTATTTCCTTGTGTAATAGGAGTTTTAGTCCCAGCTTTGGTAGACTTAATTTTCTCATCACATTTTAATGAACATTTGCTTTCTTTCTCTAAGGACTTCACTGTTTTTATTGTTGGGCTTCTTTCTTGGATTGTGCCCTTGTCTTGCAGCATACTTGTATCTTCCTTAGCTTGATCCCTTGACTGTGATCCCTTTCCATCAGTAGTGGATCCCTTTCCATCAGTAGTGGATCCCTTAGAATGTCCTTGTTCTTCGCTGTCAGTAACGACAGTAATGGTGTGTACAGAGTCCTGTTCTTCTTTATTTTCATCACACTTCTCTGAAATTGTTTTCTTCTTTACATCATTTTCATCCTCTGTCTTCATTTTACTGACTGACATGAACTACTTTTTTCTAAATACAAAATAAAACAAAAAACAATTATAAACCTTTTGTGGAAAAACAGATATTTTCCAATCATTTATTTTTTTTAGTACCAATTTAACTTACCACTCGATTAAAAATATCAGTCAGTCACTTTAAGTGTTTCATTTAAAATGGCTGTTCCTGCTCTGAGCAGTGAATGATAGATATAAAGATGTTTGTAAAAAAAAAAAACAGCCATGTTTATTCATGAAGTTGCATAATGTTCTTACCACATACATGTATCATTCATGCAAAAGAGTTTTTCGAGTGAATCTAATTTGTTGTGATCAAGCAGACGTAATTAGTGCTAGAGACTAATCAACATGTCTGTTTTGTTTATATCCATGTCATCAACATGAAATTTGCAAGGAAATTCCAAACAGAAATTCAAAAATGGATTTCTGAAACTCAACATGGAGATTTAAATCTTTGATAGGTAACAAATAAATGATCAAAATAAACATTACAAGAGTATCAGATTGTTTGTCATTGTTAACTGGAGTGTACTCATGTGTTAAACGGCCTTGTCATCTTATGCTCTGAGAATCATTCAATACACAACAACGATCAACTACGTCACTATAGCTAAAACAGTATTTTTAAGGAGGTTACAGGTAACATAAGTATATTTATACTTACTTTTATATTGATACTGCCAGGAATAAGCTAGAAGATTTCAAATTTCAAAAGAAAAATTGGGGGAAAGACCTGTACTTTGACCACTCAAACTGGGATTTTCCGGAAGTCTATTTTAAGAACAGGAAATTATTCCACTGCTAAGCAAGGATAGGTTAACTGTGTTAAAAAATCTACTCCAATTAACAGAGTTAGTGATTATAACCGTGGTTTCGGGGGAGTTTAGCATTGTGTATACAATAGAGGGAAGTGACTTGCCTAACTGATAGCACAAAACATGAATTTGATTGACATAACAGCATTATTTACACACAAACATATCACATTTAACAGGTAAAAACCTCAGACTTGTGTGTAGACTTGCTAATAAATCTACTCGTCTGGAACATATCCTTAAGACATTAATAGCATTTGACTGTTTATCCATTTACATACAGAAAATAAATGTGCTCATGGTGTAGTGCATTTTATAGCATTAATTATGTCAGACTAAAATTGCTTTACATTTTATTAGTTATTTAAAACTCATTATTGTATTTTCTACATTTAAAAAGCACAACAACCATCTTTACAAATGATCATGCAGTCTACAGTTTCAAATATAATTAAATATAAGAAGGCAACTTTTTTTCTTTCTAACTTTCCTTCTCACAATTTGCACTGTAATTTTATTTGTAGGACAAGTAATAAACATTGTTTTAACTTCATGAGAGCCGTCCTTAAAATGTGACAGGTGTAGTTTAATAGAACCACTTTATTGCTATAGAAAGATAAGTGGGCACCAAAGTGGACCAGTTATTATATATAAATACTCAGTTATCCCTCATTTTATTTTTTTCAGGGGTTTCCTCCTTTAACGGCATTGAGTCGTCATCAGATCCAGGACAGGTAATATTCCTCAGACCACATACAAGGAAATTGTGATTATAGGGGTCAATAAAAGGTCTAAAACCTGAAAAAAAGTATGACATATTGCTTAAAGATTCTAAACTTGAAATGTTTTATCAAATGTACTTAAGCAGCACTATAAAAATTTCATGCACTGTAGATGTGAAAAATGGGGTTATAGATTTTTCTTTCTTTAATAATTCATACTTTGGCATATCTCTATATCAATTCATGGTGGGGGAGGGGGGGGGATTTAGTCATGCTAGGTCAAGTTCAAACACTTTTTTTAAGGTCAAGGTCAAACTTGGCTGTTTAGCATTCAGAGCAGGAAATTGGTCACATGAAATTGGTACTGCACAAACAAAAATGTCTTGCATAAATCAAATCTTTTTTTTCAGATATTTTCTTAAAAATTCCCCTTGTCCATAATATGTATCAATTATAATGCAAATTAACTTCTTTATGATATTTCACCTTGCACTGAATGAATGATAAATATTAAATGCATGAGTAAGTGTTTACTTGCATTTGTAATAAATGAATTAAACCTCAGAGTAATTTTAGCTGTAGTTTTACGCATCTTATGAATTTTATTGGGTTTTGAAAAAAAAATAGATTTCAAGGATTTTTATTGCTTTTTCTTTCCAAATTTAGATTATAAATGTTGTATAATCTAATGTTTTTGGAAGCTAGCAAGCATGAGATGTATTTATTATGACAATTACTAATTTTAAGAACTTATTATTACAAAAACAATATAGTGATTGTAAATTAGTGAAATTTAAATATATGTCTTGTTGATATTTTCATATAATATTTGTTAAACAATGAATTTTAATGCATATCTGAGACAAGGTGTGACAACATCCATTTCAGTTAGTTGTAATACACTAATTAATCAAGCAGATTTTGTGACTGGTTTTAAAATGTCCTTGATGACTTCTGTTTTCAGTACACCCCAGTTTCCCGACCACCCATTACACCGACCTCTCCAGCTACACTATCAGCCCTCATTGATATTTCCAATGAACAGAAAACCATCGCAGATCTTAGGTAACTTTTTTAATGTAACATCTCAAATCTGTCATATGTTCATCTTAAAACATTGAATTTTGCATGTGATTTATAGTACGCTAACCCCTCTCCCCCTGCTTCTATTGACAGGACCCAGCTGGATGCCCAGCGTAAGGAGACGGAGCGGTTACAGCAGCAGTTGGCCGGGGATTTTTCTAGTGTCCAGCGGAGCTCTGGCAGCATGCACAGTGGACTCCCCAGCAGTCCCTCCAAAACTGGCTTCTCCACCCTCCCATCAACAGAGCTCTTCTCGGCCAGGAGGGCACACTATGACTACAGTGGACCTCCGTAAGTTTTGAAATATCAAGTAATGATGAAGTAGGTCTTCTTTGCATGTATTATGAAACAATTCTGGTATTTGATAATGACTTTTATCATTAAAATTGGAAAGATTATGGGATCTTGGCTTAAGGTCTGAAGACATATTCTTCAAATATATGTTTTTGCATCTCTTCAAAATGTACCAAAAATATTTATGATTATTAATATCTTCTGATTTCTAAGCTTTTTTCAAAATGTCTTAAAAAATTGTAAACCAAAAAACGGTTATATCAGCAATCAAGTGATTACTAACAGGATGATATAGGAAATACCGTGCTCTGGAATCTTGCGTAAATGCCTGGTAATGTACTCAACTCTGTGTGAGGAAACTCACATAAAGTAGCAATACTTTAATCACTAATTCTTGGGAAAATGATGTATTATTGAGGAACATGTGATTTGACGTTAATTGAATTGTGTGTATTGTATGTGTATATTTGACAGGTCTCATCTAGAAAAATCTCTCAAAGACTCCCAGGAACAAGTTGCTGATCTCAGGAGGAGGCTACAAGAGGTGTGTATGATTTGAAACATTGTAGTGAACTCATTAACTTCCATTGGACTTTAATTTTCTTTGTTTTCATGATATATGTATGTAGAGACCCACAATATCATGTCCTCCACAAAGTGTTAAAATTGTAATCAAGACAATGCTACAGTTCTTCAATTACCATATCAAATTCCCTTGAACCAATATTTTTTCCCTCAAAGCATGAAAATTTGACCCCATGAAAATAAAAGATTTTACAGTATCTGAGCCATTGTAGGTACATGTAATATTACAACAACAACACGTAGATCAATACATATTTTAGTATTTAGGACTTAAATATAATTTATAAGATCAGTTTTTAAAGAAACTATAAATGAATATAAAAAGAACATCATTTGAGTAAGGTTTTGCTAAGAGTTGAGTTTAAAATTCTGACAGGCCAGTGAGCTGAGCGAGCAGCAGAAGAGACAGTTTAGAGCCAGCATAGAGGAGCTTAAGGGCAAACTACAGGAAACAGAGATCAACAGGGACGCTGTGCTAGATTTAAGGTAGCAGATACCATTCAGTAGTACATGTTAATCTTACTTGACTGATGTATCAGCTAATCCATGATATTATTTCTCTTTAAGTTTAAAAAAAATGTTCTTTTTGAAAGAAATGAAATTGCACTTTTTTTTTCAAATGAAATTTCCTAAATCCCATGTCAGAAGTGTCTTTAAAGTAAAGTTCTGGGTGGTAAATTTTAATGAATTTTGAATTGTGTGTTTTGACATCTGCAGACAGAAGTCTATCACAGACTTTGTTAAGTATTCAGTGTAAGTAGTGTATTATTGCAGACCTACACAAAGTGTTCTATCATGCACTAGCTCTGTCTGAAATTGAGTCATTCTGATGAATTTCACAAGTGTTCACAAGTTCTTAAACAACAGTTTGAAGAGTCACAATTTTTACTTAATGTTGAAAAGAAAAATAAGAGTTGGAGCACTGAACAAAAATTGAATTTTTTATTTAGTCATTTATGAATCTACAATTCTCTTTAGACATGGCAGCCCTTTTTTCTTCACTGGGTAGAGTATATATAGCATATTCAATAGTTTGTTTTGCATGTATCCATAGAAACATAACCAAGACATACATGTATACTGATCTAAATACAGAACGATAGCTTTCATGAATTTGAAAGAAATTTAACGTTAATTATGTGTCATGGTGTTAAATAAGACTGCAGCAATGATTGGAATTCAATGTTTGTCTCACTAATATGTCACTGTCAAGTTTTACCTAATTGCTTTGTCCTAATTAGTACCAGGATGTACTTTACATCTCCCATTCAGGAGAATTTACAGCATTAATCAATATGCAAGAATTCTGTCTTGCTCAAGTCTAATTACTCACAGTTAATGAAGGAATGCAGAAGAATTATTATCAAATCAGAGTGCAGAAAATTCTTAACTGCTGGAATTAAGTGTAACATCTATGAATAGAATTGTAAAACTTAATGAAACTTGCACAATGAATCAAAAAGTTAAAATTATAGTACATGCTGTACTTTAAAAGTGTAAATATTTTTTTTCTGTTTCTAAGGGCCACTGTCTGTCCTCCATAATAGAATTAGAAAATAAAGCAACATCAAATTAAAAACAAGAAATGACAACCTATTGTCTATTTCCTAAAAGGAACCAATGCTTCATTCAAAAATTGTTGTTTTATTCTGTATTTGCTTCATCCAAAAATTGTTTTTTATTCTGTTTTCTGTAGACAAAAGGAATCCTCTAACCAAGAAATGATGCTAAACAAATTCCAAGTGACTGTACAACAGTTACAGGAAAAGGTCAGAGGTCAGGAAGAGGTAGGTCAGAGAACTAGGAAAAGGTCATAATAAATTTGACTTATGAAAAATTTGAATAATGCATTTTATAAAATTGAGTATAAATTCATTTTGAGTATTTTACTGATATTCAGCAGTAACTGTTCTTTAATTTATCAGTCTTGAAGTACAATGGCCAATGTCACTAAGAAACTCGGTATGGTGCAGAATCAGTTTCAGGTTCTGGGGCCATAAAACTGAGACGAGCTCACCTTATCTCAGTCTCACTTTTACAAAAAGAATAAATAACAGAAAACTAAGATTGAGATTAAAAGTGAGCTTGTTTAAGTTTTATATCCCCGGCCACTTCTTTGTTCATATTTACCATAAATATTATTGACAGGCTTTGATGGAGGCTAACAGGAAGCTGGAAAGCACAAGCCGAGAGAAGTATTTGATAGACACGGCTCTGAACCAGATCCGGCTCATCCTGGTAGATGTGGAACGCAGGCGAGGAAAACCATACTTTGAGTCTGATCCAGTAACCAAACAGGTTCCAGGCATGCTGGTGCACACATTAGAAAGATTTGTACAGGAAATGAACTCTGAACTTGATCTAAAGAAGTCAAGAATCACAGAGGTATAGTTGATACCACCATATGATATGATTTGCTACACTGTTTACCTAATTCTTTTCTTGTTGATATTGCATGAATTTTGATTAGCAAGAAGATTAGATTGAGCATAATTGATAACTGAGACAGTTTTATAAATAAACTGTTTAAGGGAGGTAATTTAATGTGAATGACTTTTTTACAGTTGGAAAATGAGGTGAAAGCTTTAAAACAGAACATCAGTCAGGATAAAGAGTCCCTAATCAAAGAACAACAAGAAAAGTAGGTTTAATCTCACACTGCTTTTCTCTCAGTTTTACTGTATTTTTTCCTCCATTTCTTTGCTAATTGAAAGCCCTAAGTGTAAGGTGCACCAGCAACTATTCCCATCCTAATTGTCTAAACTTTTTACCATTATTTAATTGAAAGCTACATATACACATCCCTTACTTCTTCACTCCTTTTTTCTGATATTTTCACACTTCATACTCTCTACCACCTGCAGAGAAACAGAAATTTTTGGAATGTTCAGGAAGTAAGAAAATCCATTAGTAAACAAAAATTATCAATTAACCCGTCTAACAGTCTTCATTAATCCTAACTTTCAACTAACATTGTTATTTAATTGAGTGAAGTGATATATCTTTGTCAATTTACTATAACGGCTTTATTTTTGTTCTTTGTTATAAAATTTTCAAGATCTTAATACATATTATAATTGAAAGTTAAATGTAGAAGATTTTCAATTGTTTCATTAACATGTAAAGTAACTATTCAAGCTTTTACTTAAAAAGATAGAACCTTTTTTATGAAGTGACTAATGTTTTAATGACTAGTTCTAACTCCTGTAATGGTGTGTCGTGATGAAATTTCTTGCAGAATAACAAGTATGTCTGCTGAGCATGAAAAACAGATGCTAGCTCTCCAAGAACGAGCTAATAACTCCCGTAAACAGGTTAATCATCTCCAGCAACAGCTAGCCATGTTTGAGTAAGTCTTTCTAGTGGGAGTACTGTAAATTTGTAGTCCACATGTATTCCATTCACAGTCATACATTACCTGTATTAAATTAAGGTTGAAATCAATTATTTTAGGAAGAGGGCTAAGATTTGTCATTTCTCTGAAGTTGTTAATCCAGTTAAAAGCTTGGAGTTTTACTCTAACAGTTAACACGCTGCATGTTTATTCATCAATCTAAAGCAAATTGTTAATAAGAATTAATACATTATTCGTGTGAAATAATTTTTTGGGGGGGGGGGGGGGGATAAATAAGATAGACTGAGGATCCCATATCATTTATACATTGCTTTGTTTGTAGGGGTCAGCAAGAACAGCAGATGAAGTTGAAGGATGCTACCATCATAGAGCTGGAGAGTAAAATCCGCCATCTCAAGGAAGAACAGCAAGAGGATAGGGTCAAATGGCATGAAAAGGTCAGAGTTCATACTCAATTTAAATCTTTATTAGCTAATATATAAATTGAATAAAATGAATTCAATGGCTGTAAATGGCAATGTTGATAAGAAAACTGATAAGCTCTTTAGGTTTACTTTGAGCTGTTTTTACTAAGATTTTATTGTTTACAGAGAGAGGTATATGAAAGATCACAGGAGAGTTACCAGACAGAAATGTGTAAGCTGAGGTCTGATCGTGATGATGCGTTGAAAGAGTCCGCGACACAACACAGTAAACTAGAGGAGACACAGGTTTGAAAATACTTGTCTACATAACCCAGTAAGCAAAGCAAAAACAGTTATTTGTTTATTGTTTCATCAAGTTTTAATTAATATTTATTTGACTGAATTAGATTTTTTAAAAACATATATGACTACATGTAACTGACTGTACTGCAGTGTTTCTTACGATCTGGTTTGTTTGGTCATGTTGTAAAATGTTTATGTTGATACACATTAGGAGTTCTATTTTTCAGAATGCTTTGGTCCGGTGTCAGACAGAGCTTGACCTTGAGAAACAGAAGACTGTCCACATCTGGGAAAAAGAGACAGCCATGCTGAGTAAACAGAAGGAACTAGAGACAAAACTAGAGGAGAAACAGAAAGACATAGAGAGACTGGAGAAAATGCTGGAACTCATTAAAACCGAGTGTAATGCTCAAGTCAGTGAAAAGGTACTTAACAATCTCTGAGTCTGTTCTTAAGTGGAAGATGCATAGACAGATTTTTTCTACTGTATTTTCTCATTGCTAATGCACCCTTTGTTTCCATTTTAGTTTTTGGAATCTCTTCTTCAGTTTCTTTCAGATGTTGTTTGCACAGCTTCAAATAGAAATGAAATCTTTAAATTTTTTTTCAGATTTGTTGTTCATGTAGACTATTACATTTTCTTTTGATTTTTTTAACCATTTCTGTGGTAAATAATTATTTTGTATAAATTATAACAGTTAATGCAAAAGGTAAGTTGGCACAAAGTAGATGTCTCTTCTTTAGTCATAACAGAGTTGTCTTTTCTTGTATTTAACTTTGAAATCATTTCATTTTCTGTCAAACAATGTCACTTGAACAAATCAAAACAGAATTTGTAGAGAGAATGATCACAAGGTAACATCACTCAAACTTGTATAAATTCAGGCACAGGTAATTACACCACATATACATAAAATGTCACATTATTTAAATACATGTAACTGATGTCATGTGCCATTTTTTACTCATTATTGTGTGTTTTATCAGCAGGATTTTTTTTTGTAACAAAGGAGGGTGTTTAGATTATTCTTTAGACTTAGCTTTATGTTTTGGTGGATGAAGAATTTTATCAGACATAATATCCGACTATTGTAATGTAGACCACTTTTACTAAGATCTTTTATATTCAGTACATCTACTGCATGAATACAATTATAGTATATATACATGTATTATCAGGGTTCGAAATTCACTATATACAACTCGCAAAACGCGAGTTAGAATTCCCAAATTGCGAGTTAAAAATTAGGTAACTCGCAAAAACTTGCGAGTTGATTTTTTTTGCATTGAAACTATCAAAAATATATAATATGACAGAGTAAAATGCTTTTGATTTAAATTCAGTAATTTAACTAAAAATCACACTGTAGTTGTATTTTGTGTATTGTGCAGTAGTTACTTTTTCCTTAAGTTACATGTATTTAATTTATATAAATTTAACTTTATATGAAAATTGCGAGTAGTCTTACAAAATTGCGAGTTCACTTTCTTGGTACTCGCAATTATTTGCGAGTTGTAATTTTAGGGAGTTTCTAACCCTGTATTATGTATAATAGAGTAATTTAGATGTAGTGTTTTAACACTGATATTGATTCAGAGAGCCTTGTTCCTGTACATTTCTTGTGTGATATTTAAAGTAACTTTCAGTGTATGTTTTACAGATATCATCAGCTGAGAGAATGGAACGAGAGCGCCACTTGGATCAGATAAGCAGTTTGTCCTCCCAGCTTAGCTCACTCACAGAGAAATGTAACAGGGTGTCAATGGAACTTGAGCTCTCAAGATCAGAGGTGAGCAACCTGAAGCAGCAGCTTAGGGACACCACAGACAAGCTGGACGCCATGAGGATTCAGTTTGAGGCAGTGGAGGCAGAGAAGAAACATGTGGCCAACATGCTGAGTGATAAGAAAGCAGATATGGACAGGGTGACTCAGGAGAGAGATTACTACAATAAACTCCTAGAACAGAGAAATGAGGAGATTGGCACTCTGAAGGGGCAGAAGGAGAAACTAACCATTCAACTGGAGGAAAAGGAGAAAAATCTCAAGATTCTGGGAGACCAGTCCTCCAAAATAGCAGACCTAGTGGACAATAACACACGCAGCAATGAGATTCTGAGGGAGGAAAAGGATCGTCTAATGAGCATGCTCAATGAGCGCACAGTGGCCTTGGAGGAGTTGAAGACATCAAGGGAAACTATGTCCAAGAAAATGAAAATTCGGGAAAAGAGGATTAAAGAGCTGGAGAGTGAAAAACAGAAATATGAGGAAGAAGTAGCCTTAAGACATGAGGAGTTGATGATCCTACAGCAAGAAAAAGAGAGCTTGTTCTCCGAGCTGAAGGAGAGTCGATATGAAGTGTCCTTAATCACAGAGCAGAAGGATGCTGTCAAAAAAGAGCTTGAGAAAGAAATAGAGAGTCAAACCAAGGAGATAGCCAAACTACAGAGCAAGGTCAAAGGTAAATTTTATATTTTAGTGTCATTACCAGTGGTAAATGGCACCTTGATTTGCTTTTTCTTCCACTCAAAGTTCCTTGGAAGCTGGTGTTTGTTTAACTCTAAATAACATGGATAACTAAGGACAAAGTAACTTCTATTAAATCTGAATAATTAACACAATTACCTGGTATTTTTGAATTCTGCTTCTGTATATTAACAGCCGCTGATCAAGAGGTTCGTCTAGCTCAGAGGACAATAAAGTCTCGAGACTCGGCAGATCACCAAGGTATGTACAAGGAAGGTATAACAAGTGTGTATATTTACATGTATACATGGCATGATATACATGGTTCAGATCACCAAGCTGTAAACTTCAGAAGGATCAACAGGTTGATAATTGCATAGGATAAATGGATTATCTATTGGGCCTCTGTTCTGTTTGAATGTGATATCTCCAGTGTTGTAGTATGTTTCCTCAAATGATGCCCTAAAAAGTTTTAATTATATAACAGATAAAAATATTAATGTAATAATTTTAGGTTGGTTTATATCTATGGTATGTAAGGTTTTTGTGTGCTTCAGTAATACAATTTTGTATTTGTCCACAGCTGTAAAGGTGGCTGATAAAATGCAGAAGGAGGTAACATTGAAAAGGAATGAGATTGACTCACTTAAAACAAAGATGAGGTGGTATGAAGACAAACTGGACTCTTTATCAAGGGTAGGTCAAGGTCAAAGGTCAAAGTTGAAAGTCACATCATCTAATATAAATGTAAGATTAAATACAAGCAACAAAAAGACATAAGAGTTGATTAATTAAAATAAAAAAAAAAATAGATGTCTACTCAATAATGGACTGCTGTCCTGTTCAATTTAATTTCAGTACTCTTACCTTATTACATTGCATTTGATTACTAACCTTCCAGATTTTAATCGGCTTTGGGATTTTGTGTATTACTGTAGGAGAGGAACAGTTTGGAACATGACAAGGATCGTTTAAAGTCCTCACTCAACAAATCACTCACTCATAGTCAGCAGTTGTCAGCTGAGCTCGAGCTGTCTCAGAACAAGATAATGGATTATAAGAGTCAAATTACTCGGCTCGAGATGGCTCTTGAGAAAGTGAGTCAAGATTAGTTATTTTGTATCTGTTGTGTTGTATAGCTTTCAGTAACATTCTCCATGAATAAATGGAGGATAATTTTAAAATATTTGTATTGGAGATGTGTAAACGTGTTAATTTATCATTAGTCACAAAGGAAGGCCAAAATAGCAAAGTCAGCAGAGAAATCAGGGAAACACAAGGTTTGTGGGTTATTCCCCTTGTGGTGTAGACCTTCATGTGGTATAGTGTACATGTTGTGTCAATGTTGTAGTTTTATTCGGTGTATGGTTTTGTGTTGGTGGCATTCGACAGTTGTATTACTTCCGACCTTTGTTATGTTTATCTAAATGTCATTTTAAAAAATTTCTAACCATTTTAGCTACTTTTAGATCTTAAAGTAATCCTGTTGAGATTCTGAATTACAGTAGCACTTCCATATCAAATAAACTTTTACAATACTTTCTATGACTTTTGCAAAAATGGACTTTCTACAGTAGCAGATTATGTATTTGATACTTAGAGTAATATCATTTTTCCATGAAATATACACATAGTTTTCACAGAGTAACTACGAGGCTTCATGTATACATGTATATATAAATTGCAGTCCACCACAAAGAATGCCATGTGTCAAGCAGAGGTTGAACAGTATCAACAGGATGTGGCCAGACTCAAGCTCCGTCACCAACTTGACCTTCAGGTTTGAACCAGTTTTATATTTCATGATAATATTCTACAGGAATTGATCTAAAATAATAGGGGAAAGTACCCTTTTTAGCTCACCTCGACAAAGTCAAGATGAGCTTATGCTATACTCCCAAACTTGCATGGATGATGCATCTAGGGATGGACACTACCAGACTTCTTCAGATGCTGGATCTGACCTACATTTTCCAGATGAGTGACCAGGTTAAAGTTTTTGGAGCAGGTCCATTCCCAAGTAACTTTAAGCCCTACCTGGAGCAAACTTGCATGGATGATGCATCTAGGGATGGACACTACCAAACTTGCTTCGGATGCTGGATCTGACCTACATTTTCCAGATGAGTGACCAGGTTAAAGTTTTTGGAGCAGGTCCATTCCCAAGTAACTTTAAGCCCTACCTGGAGCAAACTTGCATGGATGATGCATCTAGGGATGGACACTACCAAACTTGCTTCGGATGCTGGATCTGACCTACATTTTGCAGATGAGTGACCAGATTAAAGTTTTTGGAGCAGGTCCATTCTGAAGTAACCATAAGCCCCACCTGGACCAAACTTGCATGGATGATGCATCTAGGGATGGACACTACCAGACTTGCTTCTGATGCTGGATCTGACCTACATTTTCCAAATGAGTGATCATGGCAATGTTTTTGGAGTAGCTCTATAATTATATGGCCTGTTATGATTCAACTTGCATGGATGATGCATCTAGGGATGGACAATTCCAGACTTGCTTCGGATGTAGGAAATGAAAGACATTTTCTTGATTAGTGAACAGATTAAAGTTTTTGGAACAGGTCAATTTCCAATGAGCTACTTACACAGAACTTACAGGAATATTGTTTTCAGGATGCACACTAACTATAAAGAAAATATGATGTGAGATTTGCATTACTTATACTGATAACATTCGTCGAGGTGAGCTTCATAATCTTTGATTACCTATGTTTGGGAAATTAGGAAAATATGTCTGTCAGCCACTTAGGTGCCCAGTGGGTGCCGAGCATGTCTTTTTACATGCCCTTGCAATAGCTTGCATCCTCTTTGTGTAGTTTCTTCACATATAATAACAACTGTCTTTGTATCTTGTCAGACATTATGTATAATATGACATTAAATAGTTCTAACAAATTCAATTGCTATTAAATTCCTTGTATAAAGAATCACAAAAATACAACAGCTTGCCTAGCAATACTGTATGTGCAGTTGTAAATTGTTGAATAATGGAGGAACACAATCAGAACTATCATTGTTTAGCCTTTCATGTCAAAGGTGAATTTTCACTCATTTTTAGGGGAAAAATGAGATATTCAAGGGGAATTTCCTCTTATGGGAAAATGCTAAATATCTGGTAAATATGGCCTAGATTAGTCCTTGTTCCTCAAACATTATTTCCAGTAAGTTAATGCCAAATTATGTGAACTGTTACTGGGGTAGTTATTTATCTACCCTCTATTGGATGGTTAATAAATTTGTATGGATTTTTTTTGCTTTGCATGGTAAATTGAAGGTTGCACATGCATGTACCTGTAATTATATGTATGGGTTATCTTATTGTAGGAAGCAATACAGAGATCACTGCCAAACAAAGTTACGGAGTTTGAGAACCCACCCTTATTCACTTCAGCATATCCCGGGGTGTCTCACCTTAAGTCAGACATGGGCAGCAGGCCGAGCAGTCTCAACTCGGAGAGGAGGTTCCCTAACAAAGAATTCTCTGTGGAGTCTGTCCCCACAAGGGTAGGCACCTCATTTGTCAGTGCTCAGCAGATACATGTAACAACATGTGTGCTTTCAGAAGTCCTTCATTATGTAACCATTTAATATTCTTTGTTATAGGACACTGATGAGTACAAGTATGTTGGGAGTGAATTGAAACATTTAGTGGACCAAATGAAATCTCTAATGGCCGACAGGAAACAGAAACAAGCTGAGAAGGCTTCACATCATAGAAGGTCAAGGTCAGCCCAGAATGCCTATGATAGGTAAACATTTGTTATTGTGTTCAGACAGATAGAGAATGTCTGTTGTTATATTTCAATGTCACAACTTGTGTTTTTCAATTCAGAATAGTATAATATTTTCACATGAAATTATTGTATTAAATTTGTAGTTCAAAAAGTTCATCCGACACAGAATATCACTCGGATGTGGAGTTGGAGAGAAGTTATTTGAGGTCAAGGTCAAGAGACAAATCTGATAACAGAGAATACTCAGGATATTCTTCACTCAGGGGTTTGTATTAAAAAAAAAAGAAATCATGACTTATATTTACATGTAATACTATATGAAAATATAAAATATGTATCAGGAGTATTGACACATATCAATGTATTTGCATGTATGTTACTAAAGGCTTAGTTATGTCTTAGAATGAGTTCATTGTTTTTTAATTAGAAAATCGTTCCCGTTCCCTTTCGCCCCATCGAGGACATCAGCGGTCATTCAGTAATGACACGTCACAACTGTTACGAGCTGGTAACGACAGTTACCCGTCACGTACAGTTGGCAGCCTGGAGTCTCGTCCCTCTGCAACAAGAGATTCTTATACTACAGGTAAGTCATGCTAATTTTCTGTTGATAATCATCTGAGATCTAAATTTCTTATAGCAACAAAATCTAAGGTATATAATGCAAAATGTTTTTGATTAAAAGTTTATTTGTGTTTGTTGTCCAAAAAAGAAAAGTGAGGAAACAGAACAAAATGGAAGTAGTTCTTGATGTGTATATTTGATTGGTTTACATATAAATAGGTCCCCACCGCTATCGCCTAAGATGTCGTAAGTTTTCATTCACAGGAATGAATGTGTAACCAAGAAAATTTAGTAGACATTTCTTGTAGTGTTAGTTTCTGAAAGAACTTTCCTATTCTCTGTCCAAATTTGTAAGAATACACATTTCTGAAGATTATTTTATGATAAATATGAAGACTATGAATGAATTAAAATGAGATATGAAACTGACACTGAATCACTCATATATATATACCTAGATATAACAACTAGATCTGATGGTTATCTGCACAACAATATTAAAGAGAAATCACATGTACTACATGTAATTGTACAGGGCACATAACTCTTAGATATTGTTTTCTGGATTTCTTCAGTGAAAAACTGATGGTGCTTTTTGTCTTGTAAGAAGAGTGTTAACTTCATCAGTATTTGTAAGCTATGATTTTTCATTTTGAGTGGAGCTGTCAACTAATGGCCTATGCTTTATGACCCAGTACCAGGACACTACAGTAGGCTTTTCCAATCTTTTATTGAGTATAGTGTGTATATAGTTATGTCCTTTACTGACTTATTAACAGACCCTACAGATGTAAGTAAAGAGGACACACACAATAGCCTGTCACTCCAGGACAGTGCCGAATTGTCCGCTGGGGAGTGTTCAGGTAGTTGTAAGGAGGCGGGGACAGGTAGGTGTGGCTTAGAGCTGCCAGTCATGCTTTTAATGGCACATTGTGTCCTGCTTGTTCGTGTTCTTACACTTCTGACAGTGTACTGCTTTTCAGCTGTAATCACCTGTGTTTTGTGATAGATTAAAATAAGGGATTTGTTGAAGGTCATTCAATAATTATTTGTTTATAGGTTATAGTACTTTTTTGTGTAGCCAGAATTTAAAATTGTATTTTATATTTGTAGTAACACTTACTACTAGAATTATTATAGTTTAATGGTTTACCTCTAACTGTTACATACTGTGCACTACTTAGATTAATTATATATGTGGAATGTTTACACTGTAGGTAAAGATCATATAACATTTGATTAATTTCGTGTTTTTTCACTAAAGTGGAGTTTGTATCGACACAGTATTCAAGATAATGCAATGCAGCAGAGCTTTTGCATACCTTTTTAGAAGTGGCATATTTTCATATCCACAGCATTTGAAAGCTTTATGCACAATTTTGTTATTTAATTTCATTGTGAGAGCTTTAATTTTTTTACCTACACTTCAGACCAGAAGAGGTTGCACTGACAATATGTCAATCTGTTTGTCTCTAGATTATGTATAAAATTAATCTACTTTTGATATTTACACCAAATAGTTTATCCAGATGAAAACTTGGCACACAGGATTATACATCTTTACACATTTATTTTTAAGTAAAAATTAGGTGTGATGTTTTCCACAAATGTATGCAGACAAAATAGTTTTTTCAGAATTATGTAGTATACTGTACTTATTTTAATAACCTTGGCCACACCTCATCTCAAATTAAAAAAATTAAAAACATATTCACTGGAATGACAAATGCTGCAAGAGAAAGACCATTTGAAGTAGTGTAGTTAACCAAGTTTAGAGTACCTTGAATTAATCTGCATGTGTTACAAGTTTACTGAAATCAGACAAAAACAAAAACTGTTGTAACACACATGTTGTAAAGTGCTAGGGACAAAAGATTTTGATTATTAACTTTATTTGTTATATCTGTTAAGTTCTTAATATATTTTAAAATTACAGAGAATGAAAAATCACTTTGCTAAAATCATGAATCCAATATGACCCTGTACTCTGTACCCATGTGGTAGTTACTTTTCAAAATTTATAAAGGAAATATAATAATCCCAAGTATAAATACTTAGATTTTTAAAAATGATTTATTAAAGCTTGCTCTTTGTTTAAGGCATATTTTCCCCCTTTAGAAACCCTCTTCAGACCTGTACAGTAATATTAAGCTTCTTAATTTTTTTAGGGCGTGGTATCCCCCTACCACCACCCACAGAGACAAATAACACTGAGGACCTGTGCCGCAGACTGGAACAGAAAATTGAGTCCCTCACCAAAATGGGTGGCTCACTACAGAAGGAAAATAGAGGTAATATGGCTTACCTGAGAGAAAAAAAAATTATCTTTTAGATTTCTATGGGACATTCAAATTGATGAATATTTTGAAGTGGATATACATGTAAAACAGCCAATCTAAGAACAACACTTGGATATAAATTAACAAGAAAAGAAGTGAAATACAATCATACATACTGTGCTTCAGAACAATTTATCATATTTTAAGGTGCACATATCTTTATTTGCTGTTTTAAATTTGTTATAGAAATGGCAGATCTAATGAAAGTTCAAGGAAAGAAGATCAGAAAGGTCAAAGAGAGTCAGAAAAAAGTCAAGAAGGCAACTCGGTGACAGCTTCAGAGAATTAAATAAGAACAAACATTCCAAAACCTGACTGGGGGGGGGGGAGCGCTAAATGATGACTGGGAAAGTCTTCTGTGCCAAACTTTCAGACATCTCCATTGACTAGAACATTGAATGCCTGTTTCTGTGTATGGAAATCATACAAAACTGTACATTATTGAACTGCTTAGTTTATGAAATTATTTTACATTCTAAAAGAACAGATTTTAGCTGATGTTAGTTCTTTAAGATAAAGAGTAGAAAAGGTTTGCCTAACTGTGTCAAGTACCTGGTTAAACTGAATATATGTCGTCTTATTTTCATGTATCCCCCAAATCATGTAACTTCTACCGAGTCTCCATCTTAACCAAATGTTGTACCTCTTCCATATGTGCTTTTTGTCAGTACTAAATAATACTGATGTTAGATGTGACTATCTTAATGGCTGTATTTATAATTTATATTTATATTTTAAATTTCTCATTGTAAAGACAATCACACTTCATAACAGCAACATTTCAGCTGTAACACCATATCCTACATGTATCTTATTCCTACAGGTGGTGATTTTTTTTTTACTGTAAACTCTGTGTATTCCATTTGTGTCTGTGATATGTTATAATGAAAATCCAATTTCTCTACAGCATTTTACTAGATGTATTTATATTTACATGTAATTGTCAAATGATACAATCTCTAAATAAAGGTTTTTTTCCCTTGTTTTGTTGTATCCTTAGGAAGTTGATTAAATAAACATCACTTTCCAGAATGTCCTGCAAATGAACCAGACTTGAAAGTGTAAATTTTAGATAATCTTTTAAATTTTTGATTCATTTATTAAAAACAGGATAGGCCTATATATATGGTTTTTTGATCTCCCTGTCTCACAGATTTTCACTGTTTTATATTAATTTACATAATATACTGGATACTTTTAATCTGTCTATGGTCATTTTAAGGTTTTCTTGGCAATACCCATTTGCTGACTTAAATACAATAAAGAAGATGGGTGAACAAATGCCTATTGTACGACAGAAAGTAGAAAGTAAAAAATTAAACATCAGTTATGACAACATTTTCTTTGATGATTCATTTAACATATATTTAATGTAAAATCTCCACAATTTGCAACAATCTCACAAAGATTGAAATTGTTGGTCCATGAAATAGCATACACACACCAAAGAGGGCAAAAATGATCTTGATTTTCACTTTATCACAATTTTTTTTATATGATTGGGTCTATGCTTCATTTTTGGGACAGATTATACTCAAAGTATGTTCATATTTCAGTTATCAAAAACACGGAGTGAAGACCCACTGTACCTTAAAAAATACACTTATGACTTAACATTCGTATCTTTCCTTTAAATATTTGAAGTCCATTTAGTAAAATGTCAAATCACAAACATGGTTTAAGGACACATACCACAAACAAAAATTTGATGCATGGATTGATATTTTTTGACTGATTTTCAATAGAAATGACATAAATAATAAATCCCTAAAATATTAAGAAATCGTAAGTTTTCTCTGGTGCTTAAATATGCGACTGTGTCGTTTTCTATGTAATTCTATACAAAATTTTGCATCCATTTTTAGCATTATGACAAAATCTTGCAAAATTATCCCACTTTACCTGGTAAACATTATTCAGACTACCTATCTAACTATAAATCTATGAGAAATATTGCTGATTTCTGAAAAAAAGTTCGTGTTATTTATCCGTACAGTATGAAATTGGTATAAAATGTGAAAAACAAATAACATCATTCCAGCATGCATCAAGTGAATGCCAACTCGAGTCACCTCTAAAACAAATACTGTACATGTATAATGTTTAAATTCTGCCTTCACGAATCAATCAGGTGTGTTACAGCCTTCAAAGACTGGTACCTACATATAATAAGATCGTTATTCTTAATTCAGGGGCTTTGATGCGATTACTTTACACCTGAAAAAAGAATGACAAGTTAAACAAAAATTGTTCAAACTCACAAAAAAAACAACTTTGTCGTTGGGGGGGGGGGGGGGGTTCCGATCCTTTTCCTTTTTTACATTTATCAAATATGTTGGAAGGTTTGACATCATGTTGCAACAAAAGAAAGGGGGAGGGGGTCAATGAAAATTTCCATACGAAATTAATAGCAAAAGTACGGAAGTCCATTTAGGACCTATCCGATGAAACGAATTGTCGAATTTGTTATAATTTTATAATTTAATTCGTTATAACAATTTCTGTGGATTCGTTATACCGAATTTAATCTCTTATAATTCAATTTAAGGAATTCAAAAATTTGTTACAATGAATTGAATTCGATATAACGAATTCTAGAACTAGTTATAAAGAATTAACTCGATAAATCGAATTCTTTAATCTGTGATAGCGTATTAAATCCGTTTAAACGAATTCGAAAATCGTTATATAGAATTCATGTATATATTTTTCTATAGGCCCTGATTGTTAAATTTGATTAAACGAATTAAATTCGTTATTAAAAATGTTAGAATTCGTTAAAACGAATTTAATCTGTTATAATAATTTTTTGAATTTGTTATAACGAATTCAACAAATCTGTTATAACATTTTAATTCATTAATACGAATTCCAAAAAAAAAAAATGTTATAAGGCCATCATTAAAAATATCTTTGTTTCCCCTAACCCGACCCTAAAATTTCAAGTTGAGTAGGTAGGTAGGTAAATTATTATTTTTTTTATGACAGTTTTGAAAATACATTCTGAAAATTGAATAATATCGCTATAAATAAGAAAGAACAAAAGAAAGTGATTTTTATGCGCCCGGATCGATAGATCGGGGGCGCATATTGTTTTTGTCCTGTTTGTCTGTCTGTTGTCAACTTTAACCTTCGCCATAACTTTGAACCATAGGAGATAGAGACTTCATATTTGGTATGCATACTCCACTAATTAAGTTCTTTCAAATGACACCAAGGTCAATGACCTTGTGACCTTAACTGTGACCTATACGCTAAAAATAGCTTTTTCGAACTTTGTTGCCGCCGGGTACATAGTGTTTCACAAACACATCTTGTTAAACCTAATATCATACAAATGAAATTTAAAAGCAACATGTATGGTAAATTAATTCACAAATATTATTCATTTGAACTTGTGAAATATCTCAGGCTAGCGTAAATTTATTGAAATTGAATTTTTACAAAAAAGACAAGATTCGCAAAAACTCAACTACATGTATTGGCCATCCGAGTATATTTTATTATGCCCCCGGATCGAAAGATCCCGGGGTATATTGTTTTTGTCCTGTCTGTCTGTTTGTCTGTCCGTTTGTCTGTTGTCAACTTTAACCTTGCCCATAACTTTTGATTGGTTGGAGCTATGACTTTCATATTTCACATGTGTATTCCTTGTGACAAGACCTTTCTTTGGGTACCATCATATATGACCTTTTGACCTTGACCTTGGAGTTTGACCCATTTTTGCAAAATTTTATGAGACTTTAACCTTGGCCATAACTTCTGAACAGTTGGTGCTTGGGGTTTCAAACTTCACATGTGTATTCCTTGTGACAAGGCTTTCCTTTGGATACCAACAACTTTGACCTTTTGACCTTGGAATTTGACCTACTTTTGAAAAACTTTAACCTTGGCCATAACTTTTGAACAGTTGGTGCTTGGGGTTTCAAACTTCACATGTATATTCCTTGTGACAAGACCTTCCTCTTGATATCATCCTCTTTGACCCTTTGACCTTGACTTAGGAGTTTGACCTACTTTCGAAAAACTTTAACCTTGGTCATAATTTTTGAATGGTTGGTGCTAGGGATTTCATACTTCCCATATGTAATCCTTGTGACAAGACCTTCATTTGAATAATAACAACTTTGACCTTGACGTTTTACTTACTTTTAAAAAAACTTTAGCCTTTGCCATAACTTTTGAACAGTTGCAGCTAGGGCTTTCAAATTTCACAGATATATTCCTCGAGACGAGACCTTTCTTTGGGTACCAACGTTTTGTATCTTTTGGCCTGCATTTTGACTTGCATTTGAGAAACTTTAATCTTCGCCATAAGCTGCCATACGGGGGCATCAGTGTTTCACAAATACATCTTGTTCAAACCTACTATCATCTTCGAGTGCTTACACAGATAAAATGTCAAGGGCCTCGCGTGGTGCAGTAATTCTAGTGTTTCGTTTTGGAGTCACAACGTAATTCAGGAGCTTATTCTAAGTCACAGGTCCCGACGTGGGGCGTGGAAATTGGTCAGTCAAATGAGACCGTAAGAAACGTAGGGCCATGCAGTGTCACAGTATACATGTAGATGTTGGCACGATAAAGATCCCTTACTGATGCTTTATGATCAATGGCCATAAGTGCTGAGAAAAAGTCTAACTTAGGAGCCCTCCACCCGTGTTCAAATGTTGTCGACTCAGCAATTTTTAAAGGTATTTTAAAGCAAAGAAACAACCTATTTTCAAGGGCCCAACTAAAGAAAAGAAAAATACACTGGACGTCTCAGGAAGCCATACCATACGCCAACTTTAAAGATTTCAACACTATTTGAAAAAAGAGTACCTGTATGGACAATATTTAATTCAACCAAACCATATCTAACATGATTGAAGTTTCATATATCTAATGTTATAGTCACGAAGTTTACCCCATAAATAAAATGAATGAAGAAACGACATTCAAATTATATTTATCAAGATGAAATAATTATACAAAGATATATTTACAAATCCTATGGTCCTATATAGTAAAAATAGAATCATACATGAAGTGTTTTTTAGATCGAAACGAATGAAATGCAGTGAAATTTATTGATATGCATACACAAAGTGGGCCCCTCATCTGCTCATGAGGCAGGCTTTGTCATGCTTACTACGTACGTTAATTTTAGAAGACACATCTATAAATGCCATGTTAACACTCCTTAGTCATGGTATATTTAATTCTCAAAATGTTTCAAGAGTGTAGGATTCTAACAAGTTAAAGATGTCTATTAAGATTGATACATCGCCGTTGTTTTATAACACTAAATAACCCTCTGTGGCAACATGTTGTGGGCGCCAAATGAGAGTAAAACAAAAGCCGCCATTCTGATAAAAAACGAATTTTGATGAAATTGTACTTTATGAAGTTGATAAACAATAAAAATAAATATTTGAATAATCTTATTATAAAAACTTTTCAGTCGGCACGATTTAAGTGGGTCGGTCGCGTTAGGGGAAACAAACCTATTTTTTATTTTGGCCTAACGAATTAAATTCTTTATAACAAATTGACAATTCGTTATATCGAATTCAAAAATAATTTTGATAGGTCCTAAATGGGATTCCATACAAATGACTATTCTTGGTGGAAAAAAAGCAAACAAAATGGGATTTTTAGTGAGTGACAGTCAGGCACGGATCCAGTAATTTTTTTTTTCCAGAAAGGGGGGAGGTCTACTTCAACTCTAACGCCACTTTTAAAAGTCATTTTTTTCTTCACATACAAGACTCGCCTAACCATTTTAAGAGGGATCCGTATGTCTGAGGTGGAGTTCAGGGTAATTTTTTCATTACTTAAAAAGAAAAAAATTACTCTGGAAATCGGGGGCGGGGTGGGGGTGGTCCGAACCCCCTCTACATCTGTCCATGATGTGGACTTCCCTGGAAATTCTGTACATCAATAAAAGCTTTTTGTTGCTGTTTTAAAATAGCACTGTCTTATCAAGTAAAAAGGGATGATCAACAAGGTTATAGTACTTATCAAGTAAAAACAAAAAAGTCTTTTTAAAAAAAACGTAAAACTGTGATGACTTGCTATTTCACTGACAGAAAAATGATGTTTTATACTGTTATTTATATTTGTGTTAGGAAAAAAAAAACAATTTAGAAGCTCTGATGCAGTATTAACCGCCCTGAACAAAAATTTATTTTCCTTACAATCTTTTCACGGTCAAATTTAAAGCAAAGTTTTATTCTTGTCGAACATATAAAAGTTAACAAAAAAGAAAGAGAAATTTAAAAAAAAGAAAAAAAGAAGAAGAAGATCTAGAAGGAAAGAAAATGGAAGTCACTTGTAAAATTGCATTTCAACTTACTTTCGAATGTATTCTAGAATTTCTACTACAGTATAAAATTGTAGTACTATACCATTTATTACACTCACTACATTTTACAATATTTAATTTAAGGACCAATGACCCTCTGCTATAAATTTCACATTTTTTTAAACTTCCCAACACTGATTTTCATCAAGAGCATTAGCATCAGATTCAAATGAAAAATAGTATGAGGTATGAAGTGCTGCTTATTTGTTTTTTCAGAAAGGATTTTTATATCAGATCATGATATGAAAAAAAATATCACTGAGAATAGGAAGAGTAATAATTTATTATCACAAAATAAAATTTAAAATATGAGATATATATATGAAAATAATATTTAGTCTCATATACCTATTAAATTCAAATTAAGTAATAGTTAAAGCGCTGCTTCCTAAGTCAGAATATCACAATGTTATATGTGCTTGTAAGAAAAATGTAATACTAATACAAATTCTACATTTGGTACTTCTTACATCAAGGCATTTTAAAACTGGTCCATGAAAAGATAGACCTTATTCAATTTATATGGATTTTAAAATTTGAAAAGTATAGACAAAAGGAAATAGAAGTTAATGTTTCCATCATAAATCAGGTTTGATGGAATTGGCCACTCAAAGCTCTCAATTATTAAACTCTGGTAAAGTAAACTATGAGTAATATTAGGATTTTTTACTTTGAAAAGTTATCTCTCTTATCAGAGGGTCGGCCCCCCTTAATCGTAAAAACATGTCGGGATCGTTGTACTCTATAATGGCAATTATTGCGCAATCGGGTGAAAGTAACCGGCGCGGCGGTTGTAAACAAAAAAGAAAACAATTTTGGTTTGCTGATTTTGCAAGTATAGGAATACTAGAGGAATACTATTAGGTTTATTGTACCTTTTTTGCAAGGTGATTGTTGTTTGGTTTTTCTTTCAATATTATATTTTTCCTTTTTCAAAATGCAACGAACTCTGTTAAAACTGGTTAAAAACAAACAGTACTAATATTTATAGAAAGAAAGTATCTGTATTTTCTATATAGCTATAATTATCAATTAATCATAAAAAATTCAGAGAGATAATCAGATTATTTAAAGTCACATATAGTGTATTCTTTGATAAGTTCAGATAACCAAAATTAAAAAGATCTTTCTATTTGTTTTATTACTTCTGTAACGGGAAACTTTGGTGTGTTTCCATATTATCCCTGAGTTCTGCGATTTACAGTGACAAAAACAATAATAACGTTTTACAGGTTTAATAAGTTAACAATCAGGTAACAAATATATAAATAACAAGTGAAATTTAGGGGTTGGTGGGAGATTATTACCTATATCAATAACGATAGACTTGATTCACGTCCAACGACTTCTGGTGCCTGGCTGGGACTGCGACAGGCGTATCACAGTGGTCAGGCCGGTCGCAGATGTCGCTAAGAACGGCCTGACCCACGCGCTGCGCCAGCAACGTTCCCGACTGAATACTATATGTAATGCAATACAGTTTACTATAGTAATAATTATATACAAGTATAACATAATAAATAAACAAAAATAAATCTTCCACCATTACACTTCATATAAAGATAGGACTTTCCTTTAAATTACACAATTGAAATCAATCGCATTTCAAAGATTTTAAAAAATTAAAACAATAACCGATTTGTTTACCGACTCCACAGTTAAATATCAGACAAAGTTTAAAGTCAATTTAATTATAGAAACGTAAGGTTAATCAAGTTCCAACTCGGTGTAATTTTTAATTGGAAAGTAAATAACATATATCATTTGTATATCTACACTTATTCTCGTATTATTATTTTTTAGCTCAGATACGCCATATCACTAATAGCTTTAATATGCTTTTTAGAATCTTTGTCTAAAGTTCTAAAATGGATGAAAATGAAGATTTATTACAAGATCTAATTGAGCATTCAAAGAAGAGGCCAAAGTATGCGTGCATGGTGTCATGGGAGTTTAAAAATGAAACCAAAAAGCCCAACAGAAAGAAAAAGCAGCTGCAGCAAGAATTCCTCAGAGAGCAAGAGGCAAGTAAAGGTTACGAGGAAAAAGACAAGGAGTCATCATCATCAACTTCATCAGCACAAGAAGAAGAATACAATTCAGAGAGTTCGTATTACTCTGATGAAGAAGTAATAGATTCTGAAGAATCTACAGGCAGTTTGGAGGAAGCTGTAGATGGGGTAAATTTACAAAATGACACAAGTTTTATGCATTATCCTTCACAAGCAAATAGTGGATATCGAGCACCAAGTAAAAAACAGCGTAAAAGATGTTATCAGTTGACCTACTTTGATCAGATTCTGCCATTTATGAACTGTGGACTTAGCATTGAGGAAGATATCCAAGAAGTTGTGGCTGAAATCCAGGGAAAGCAAATTGTTGTGTTGAGGGAGGTGCCAAGCCTATCTTTTCTATGTATTAAAATGCTGAGAGGAGTAAGGTTCCCTTCAGATACTATACCCAATCTAATTAAGTCACAGATCTATGTTGCCAACACAGATTTTCAATTTAAGAAATTTCAGTATGGGTGGTTGTTAAACATGCTGGCTTTTGTAGACAAGAAAGAAAATGTATACTTGCGATGGTTAAAACCATCAGGACTCACTGAATGGTGTTATCGTCCCGTAATTCCAATGTGCAGTGTATGGTATCCTCTGCCTTATGTAAAGGAATGGTCAGTACAATTTACAGAAATTTACAACAAGAACAAAGTCACAGCTTGTATGATATACACCAGTGGACATCCCCAGGAATTACAATTTTCTTACCCTTGGAACATATTAAAGTGTGTACCTTGGCTTCTGTCAGGTCAGATATAAATTTCACAGTCACCTGACATTACTTATTTTTCTTTTAATAAAAAATTAGGCAGGGGGTATATTTTTTTAATTAAAAGAAAAATAAGTAATGTCAGGTGCCTGTGATAATTTTGTTAACTGTCCAATAAAAGTTTTAATGAGTGAAATAATATATGTATTGGTTTTACATACCATATTTGCCCCAGTAAGCAGCCAGGGTGCTTGAAAATGTAGAATAGTTTATCCACAACTTAACTACACTGTACAATGCTTAAAAGAAAATTATAAATTAAAAATTGAAAACTCATTTTGTAATATTGCATGATAATACATGTATCTATCAGTACAATTTTTGTTTTAATTTGAAAATGAAAAAGATAAGATCATGTTTTTAATCACATTGCTTTACCTTTTCAGCATTGGGTACTTTAATTGAATGCATGCTACCATCTCAAATATCCCAAAGGAAGCCAAGGGGGAAAGTCCGCTACCAGAGCGAGGAGGCACAACTGAGAAGGGCCACTATAACTGCCAGTCAAAGAATCAAATATACACTGTCTAAAAGGTAAAGTTTCTGTTTGGTATTATGAATAAGTATTGTAATACCGACTGTAAACGAAGTTTGTAATGTACATGTACTAGTATGTAGGAATCACCTTGTCCATCTGTCTGTGCAAATGTGTCCAACCATAGCTTGGCAATAAAAATAAATTGAAATCCCATACATTACATGAAGATTGCCTATGACCTGAGAATCCTTTGACCAAAGGACATTTTGGCAAGTTCTAGGTCGCTGGCAGTGCCAGACAAAGTGTATAATTTATGTTCAGTCTATAATTTTCTATGCATAGACACTGGAAATGAGTGTCATCACACACAGACTGCTGAGAGTTTTTCATGGTCTAACCCAAGGTCATTTGTACCAGCTCAAGGTCACTGTCATAAAACTGTGTAATTCCTCTCCTGGCTATCTTGCAATGGAGAAGCTATAGAAAACTCATACTTGAGTCAAAAATTGCTTATGATCTGAGGGTGTATTGTGACCTTGACTAAATCATTTTGACAAGTTTTAGGTCAAGTTAAGGCAGAAAAAGTGTAAATTCATGTTCACACATTTCTAATAAAGAAACACTGGAAGTTCATACTCAGCAATAAGATTACTTATGACCTAAGAGAGTTTCATGACCTTAATCTAAGATCATTTGACATTTGTACAAGAACAAAGTCACATTTAGAAAAAAAAACAAAAAAACAATGTATATATAATTCCTGTCCTAGTTATATCATGCAATGAAGAAACATTAAAAGGCCATACTTGAGATAAAGATTGCATGTTTATAATCTAATTCCATGTTCACTTGTAGAATTTAACTGTGTCTGTCATGGATTTGTTTAGGTTATATTTATAACTATATTTAAACTAAATTGAAATTTATTTTCATGTTATGATGCTTTTACTAGTACTAATCAATTTTTCAGAAATTTTATTCCTTCTGCCGCTGATATGATGTTGATTAAATATCCTATTACTATTAGAACCAAGTTTTCACAAACAAGAAAGTTTTTTCCAGACATTTCACTGCTACAATACTGATTTTTGGACATCTTTGATTAGAAGAGCTTGAAGATGACTTTGATTAGAAATGTTTACTTCTTGTTTAGATAAGCAGAGGCATCTTTCTTCACGAAGAACAGTGGGAAGATATTTTTAAAAATAGTGTTATTCATTCCCCACTGTTGATATAACTTTGTGCAAAACTTGACTAACATGGCATAAAAGTTGTCAAAAAATATATTGAAAACTTGCCTCTTCATGTCTGTAATACAAAAAAAAATCCTAGAAGAATGCATGTCCTACATGTATCACAATATTTGAAGAAATATCTCTGAACTTGTAATGTCTGAGAATTGATAAGAATGAAGAAATTAAAAAAAAAAACTTGCAAAGTTTATGATATTGACAATTTTTTTTGTAGACTTCCCAAAATTGTTGCAGAGTTTTTTGAAATGGCCCTTCCTTATGCATTTTGGGCAAGAGGAGATATTCATTATGCAACAGAACTGTTCTGCCATCTCTCTCAGTCACAAAAAAGATGTATGTGCTACAAACTTATATAGTCAAACTGTGTTAATAAGGAGTCCACAGTGTATAAGGTCATTTATTTTGTCTTTTTAGGTCACCTGAGTCACTCAGGTGACCTATTGCTATCTCTTTTCGTCCGCCGTTGTTCTGCAGTCATAAACTTTTGAACATTTTCAACTTCTTCTCTGGAACCAGCAAACCAATTTCAACCAATTTTGGCATATAGCATCTATGGGTGAAGGGGAACAAAAATTTTGAAATTCATGGCCCCTGCCCCCCTGGGGCCTGAGGGGTGGGGCCAAAACCATCAAAATTAATGCAATCTTTAAAAATCTTCTTCTTTACTCCTGGACATCAAGCAGTCAAACTGTTGGCATGATTGTAATAAGCATTGAGCCCTCTACCAAAATTGTGAAATTCATGGCCCCAGGGTCAGGGGTTCTGGTGCTAGGGCGGGGCTATATAGATCATATAGTGAAAGTGCATTATTTCTTTGAAAATCTTATTCTCTACTCCTGGGTATTATTGAAACAAATTGAATACGTAGTTATGATAAGCAAGGGTGACTCTACCAAAATTGTGAAATTCATGGCCCCAGGGTCTGGGGTTCTGGTGCTAGGGCGGGGCTATATAGATCATATAGTGAAAGTGCATTATTTCTTTGAAAATCTCCTTCTCTACTCCTGGGTATTATTTAAACAAATCAAATACATAGCTATGATAAGCAAGGGTGACTCTACCGAAATTGTGAAATTCATAGCCCCAGGGTCTGGGGTTCTGGTGCTAGGGCGGGGCTATATAGATCATATAGTGAAAGTGCATTATTTCTTTGAAAATCTTCTTCTCTTCTCCTGGGTATTATTTAAACAAATACATGGTTATGATAAGCAAGGATGCCTCTTCCAAAATTGTGAATTTCATGACCCCTGGATCAGAGGTTCTGATATTGGGGGGGGGGGGGGGGGGGCTCTATTTATTATATAGTGAAAATGCATTAATGCTTTAAAAATCTTCTCTGCACCTGGGCATATCAGAGGCAAAAAGAGTAAAAGTTTTAACAAGGAAGGGTATTTTTACCAGATTTTTGAACATCAGAACCATTTGATCAAGTGTTCTGGTCAAGGCCAGGGCTCTATTAATTTGTATTCTACTGAGAGGAGTTATTCCCCTTTGCCATGTACTTTTGATAATTAATCACTGTAAATAATGTACTTGAAAGGTTAATAGATTAAGAGAATTATGCAAGAATTTTTATTGTATAATACAAAAAGTACTTTCATAGTTTTAATGATCAGGTAGACTTGTAAGTAACAGATAAATAAAAATGAGACAAAAATAACTTGTCTTATTAAATGTTCATCAAAGACCAAGAGAGGCCAATGTAAGAGATAAAAGAGTACAGAAGCACTGATTATAAGTTTGTTTATATACTGTCTGGTGAGTGATAAATGGGGAACAGATTAGAACCTAATTTATGTACTGTTAATGAACACTAGACTAATTATTTTGTTGATCCTGATCAACCTATTTTTCTTGCTTTTGGGCAACAAAGCTTCATCTTTCAGTTCATTTTATACTCTATGGATCCTCTAAATTGTTGTATTATACTCAGGTGACCGTTAAGGCCCTTGGGCCTCTTGTTTATTGGTACTACACATTTACAAAACACAACCTTCTAAGGAAATTAAATAGAAATAATTTTTCAGCTGTAATGTGAAATAACCTTGCGATGTTCTACTGCATTTTTCACACTTGTGGCAGTTTTATGTTTTAAACAGTACTTGATTAATAAATTGATGCCTCAATATAGAATAGATGTATGACAAACATACATATTTTGTTGTAATAATTAGTGTTTATGCAGTTTTTTTTCTATTTTGTTTTTTGATAGGCAGATACAAGGCCTTATTTTTGAATGAAGCAGGTCGGATGCATGCCGTTTCAGGGGAAACAACTAGTGCTGCCAAATTTTATCGATTAGCTTCAGAAATGTTAATATCTAAACCAAAAAATACAATGCATGTTCCTGAATTAGAAGGTCAGACCATGATGCTGTTTGCCAATCTGAATGACCAGGGGTGAGTAGATTACAGTATAACTCAGATATTGTGAACTGCTAGGAACATTCAAATTCAATTTATTTTAACTGTAATTTGCTGTATGTATAGTTGGTCTTTCTTTGATACAAAAAAAAACTTCAATATAAGCAGATATTCAATTAATGCATGTTTTCTTTTAACAAGTTTTACTGTAACTGTGAAAACTTTTAAAAAATTTTATAATTACTTTTGTTATGCATCTTTTTTAAAACCATGCAATTTCTTCAAATAAAATACATGTATGTGTATTATTTAATGGAATTAAAAAAAAAACATGCAGCTATTATGGGTACATTTTGCATTTGTGTAAATACATGTAGTGATAACATCTAATAGATACTTTTGGAAAGTCTTATTCATTGACACAGAAAACATGAACTGCATTTATTTACCCTTTTTTGTAGAAATATGAAGGGGAAGGCACAGTCTGCATGGAATTTGTGGAAGACTGTTATTATGTCTGAATCTTATGTCTCTGATAATGCAGCATTGACAGCAGTAGAACACTGGCTCTGTTTTCATGCAGGGTCATGGCAAGGCAAGTTAAGGACTTTTAAAATACTTTTTGCTCAATTAATTAAACAGAAGACTTAAATTAGTTTTTTTTTTTCCGGTGTAGGTTTGTCTGTATTGTGTTCATGTATCCTCCTATTGAATTTTTAAAGAATGGACAAAATTAGGTGTTTACTGTTTTAATTTCAAAATCTTAAAAATCAGTTTAGTAAATTTATTCACTTCATACATATTTGATGCTTTTTTGGAATTTATAAAAATTCCTTTCTCAAAGTTTTAGGTTTGTTCAGTAAATGCCATATTATTCAGGTTACTTAGTAATATTGATGACGCTTCAAAAGGGGTTTAAGCGTTATGTAGGAATATGTATTGGTGAATGATTTAAGGATGTTTAGACCCAGTAAGTATGTCATAAGTAAGAATTTTTCACTTTATAGGTGACCACTTAGATGAATCAGTCAGAAGACTTGTTCCTTTGTGTACACAACATCCCAAGCTTCTGTACCATCTTTCCCTAGTTCATGCTCTCAGAGGAGATGCAGAAAACTCATTGAACTGTTACACTGACTTCAGAGAGTAAGTTAATTTATATTCAGTTGCATTTTCAGGGAGGATTCATTAAAGATAACTATATTTTTACTCTTTATGTCTGCACAGTAGAGAGAAGTCAGTTGTATTATGAAGGACCTATTGTTTTTATCATTGTGGTGAGAAGAATCTCAAACCAAAATAAAGATTACTTCTGACCAGTGGAAATTTCTAGCGTCTGAACCTAGTTGGTATTGGGTCAAGGCCAGAGAAATAATGATATGGGGGCTGGGGAGGGGAGTGTATGGGTATGAAGTAAATATTTTATTTTCTTTTTCAGTAAAGTGTTAGGTTCTAACATGCCTGGGGAGGGCATTGTTCTGAAACAATCAGATAATCCATGGCTGCCCCTGGTGGATGTAGTCAGAAAACAAGGGCAGATAAACTGTATACCTGTCCTCTGGAGAACTCAGCTCAGACCTTTGTGTGTTCAAACAAAACCTAGGTAACATATTAGATGCACTTGGTATTTTCATCATGATTGGATATATTTCTTCATTTTACAGGTGTTTTTTTTTTTCATTTTTATTGACTTCATCGTTTTGGGTTCATGTAGATGTGAGATCAAGAAACTACCAGTTTGTACATCTGCAGAAAAATATGAATTGTATAGCTTAAGACCAGGTAGTTAAAGTTTCAAAAAAATCACCAAGTATTAAAAAAGTTTTATGGTAGATAGTCCCTACAAATCTAAGAGTTATGCAATAATCTTAATAAAAATGTTACATCAAGATTAGACTTTCTTTTTTTTTCCATTATATAAAGCTTTGTAATAAAATTTTAAAAAATCCTTTGTTTTCAACAGCAATTACATAAAATAATATGCATTTACGGGTATATTGTAATACAAAATGCAGACTTAACAGTGGATCACACAGCAGATAGTGTAAATCCATTTGTCTCTTCGGACTAATGAGTGGACATGCAGTTAAAGATATATCAATGAGTTCAGTGTGTACTAATTTTTGTTAGAGCTTCTCTGATCAAGCAGGTGTTACATGTACATGTATCTATATCTCCTGGAAATGGGGCAGAAGAATTAAAAATCTGGTCTCTTAATTGCAATTGATTTTATATCAAATTAAAATACTTAGTGGGTGGCCAGCCTTTTATTTTCAAAATTAACTTGGTATTAAGT